ACCCACGTTAAGGTAAACGTACCTTTTGCCATACGTAGCGATAGGCTTTCCGTTTGCCGCCTGTAGATTTAAAACCGATTCGTGAAGCCAGTCGTTAGAACTCGCTGGTAGAACGCTAACGTCTGCGCCAGTATCATAGAGGTGGAGAACTCTCGTTGTCACAGCTGTTACGTACAACAAACGACTATGTTCGCCGGCTACGGTTGCCGTTAGCGCATGTCCGCTCGGAAGTTTTCCGAACGGTTTTCCGTGCCGGTAGATTTGGGGTTGGAAAAATTACAGGGTTTTCTGCAATTTCTGAAGGATTTTCCATACTGGTTATGATACCAGCACCATTCGGAGTTATCCGTCTCTCGTGGTCTAGAAACAAGTCACTTACGTGAAGTGCTTCTTCGTGGGGTTTGTGACCGTCTACGGTCGTTACGACATTTAAGATAATGTGCAAATGTATAAGTCTGTAATATCATTCTGGGTCGTTTTGGGCTTTTCTTTGACTGAAAAAAACCTCGGCATTAGAAGATTTGGTAATTTCAAAAATGCGGTCGGCAGATGCAGCCAGCTCGTCTAAGGGGTTTCTTTGAAACGAGACCAACACAGCTTGCGCTTGTTGAGGAAGTTTGGATAAGAAAGGTTGTTTGAATAAGCCATCATCGATGGTTCTTTGGCAGATAACCTCTTTCATTCTTTGCAAAATGTCTTTCACTGAACCGTGTTGCAGGCCGATGTTATTAAGGAGTTGGTCTAACCTTTGTCGATCAGTTAGGTCTTCGCGTTTAAGGATAGATCGTTTCAGTGTCTCGTAGGGTTCCGAAGCATCACTAGCAAACATGATAAGTGTCCCGTACCCGTTGAGTTCATGAGGTACTGCCTTAACTATTGCGAGGAATTGTGCACGTGTGTCGTTCATGTCTTGCTCGTAGAAGTTGGCTACTGCGTAGCAGAACCAGGCTTCGATGTTGTCTGGCCAGAAGGGCATTAGTTGGAACAAAGTTGGGACATAGTCTTTAACTTAAGTACCTTGGGTGTCTGTTCAGTCATGGTGAAATATCGAAGTACGAGAATGAACCAGTGAGCAAAAAATATATTTATCAAAAACACAGAAAAAATCACAATGTATATAAAACTTAAATAAGGCAATGATATGTAAAACCCCAAAAAGGAACAGACCCACAGTTTGCAATTTGGTGTACCAAATCACGTCGGGCTCACCAACGAAGAAGCCATAGGTGTTTGGATTTTGACAACGCTTTAACCAGTAACACCTTCTATTATGAATCGTATCCACCAAGTGAAATCGAAAGACAGAAGCGAAGTGATTCGAAGATATAGTTGATAGGCGCTCAATATATTGAGGATCGTCTGATCTAATCTGACTAGCGATTGCAGGGGATGTTGAGCACGGCGTTCCCACTCGTGATCTAGTGTGGCTGCATGACCGACAGCCCTCAGCTAGGTGAGTCCACTCAAACTAATGTAGTCAACATCCAATGTTGAAGACTTAAAGAGCCTTTTATTTTGGGGATTTATTTACCGCCAGGCTGCAATTAAACGCAACTCAATTTCGTAAATGTGCCCTTCAGCTTAGCAACCAATCAGAATGTAGCGGGAATTATTATATCAGCCATCTTTGTACGTAATGGCGGTCGGCTGTCTTCGCTCTGTGCTTCTTTTAGCTATTTCTTTTGTGTAGCTATGTAATTAATGTTTCAATGTGCTAAGATGCCGCAGTTAGTGTAATGTTCTACATGTTGGTGTGAAATATACTTCGAATCAGCATTGTTTTTTGGGTTTTTGCTGCTTCTACTCTAGTCAATGTATTTCTTCAGTCAAGCTGGTTAGTCTTATGTTTTAAAATAAAAATCGGTTTTGTTTTGACTTGTTTTCTAGATATCCAAAGCCGAAGTCCGTTTTTTCTTAGCTCAAAAAACTGTTGCTGCCTCCTGTGACTAACTGTCCGCGTGTTCATTCCTAACTGTCCTTTATGATGTTATCGGCAAAATGAAAGGGAACAATTTCCGGTTTTTAATTTTCTTCAGTATTGCGGACAACAATATCCCACCAACGAGTCAAACTAATACTTAGTGCCTAGCCGTAGGGGATGTCAGTATTGTTTTCGAAAGTATCCAGGCTTCCGACAACCACAGATGCTACCAATCTATTGCAGAGGGTTTGTTATGAAAAAATATGCCACATAGCAGTAATGGAGGGGTTGTACGCATTACGTAGTGCGTTAAAGCAAGCTTAACATTGAAAAGCCGGAAATCTGCTATCAGTGTGTAGTGTATGTTTTGGCCACAAAAGGAAGCCGAAGGGCCATGATCAGGGAGTAAAAAGGTAACTAACTGTTATTAAGCTCAGCTTTTTATAGACCATAATTCACCACTCGCAAATTTGTGTTTTTCTACAGTATGACGTCAACCGTTATCTAATATGTTCACCTTTACGATGAGAAGTACCTGCAAATTCTCACCTTCATATTCGAATTATTTTGGGACAACCGTCTTCCAGATTGAGTGCTTCGTACGCCCTGGGAGACTAGATTCCTACATTATTCACAGTTCCAGTATAACTTTCTCACACAGTAAGTTCAAAGTAAACACTAGTCTTCCTAAATAAGCATGTTAAGCTAATATCCGTATTCTCTATTTCAGTTGCTCGGTGAAGATATGTACCACGTGCATCTGTTGTATATTGTTATTTTACTCCAATTCTAACTATTATATCTTCTGAAAAATAAAATTGCTATATGCAGCAAATACAGACTTATTGTTTTGATGGTGGTAGGGGGGTTCATTGGTTTTTTAGCAGGACTGTAGTAATATTCCCACTAAAGAGCTAAGTGAGTGCGTAGACCAATGTAAAGTACCATACAGGGTGCCTTTGAATTACTCATGTTCCATTAGTGTCGGTAGAAGCATTACTTGCTTATCATATGACATTTGAATAAGAAGCTATGAGATTAGATGCAGGGACGGTTAGGATGTGTAACGCGTGTCCATCCATCAGTTTTCGTGGCAACTCACGGTGGCTAGAATAAGTTGTGAGAGGACTCGAGCCTGTAGGTTTCCTAAGAAAGTGACGGAGATATGCACCAAATCACCTTATGAAGAGCGCCTCCAATCACTTAACCTCTACTCATTAAAGTATAGACGTCTTAGAGGTGACCTATTTACTTACAGGATCCTTAACACTTCTGGACATTTTCTTAAACACCTATTTGAACTTAGTCCCAGAAACTAGAGACACGACATAGCAGAATGGACTGTAGACGCAACTTCTACTCCTTAAGAGTTGTCAAATGCTGGAATTCGCTGCTCGCCGAACCAGTCCAAGCGACTTCCCAGGAGTCATTTGGGAGGCGACTGGATCTTTTATTGTTAACATACCTAGGTTCCTGCTTGGAGGTTTTGGTGATCCGGAAGCCTGAACACATGAATTAGGTGATGAGAGGCTCGATTATCACAAGTTTCTTGCAACGATTAAGTAGATAAAACAAAGTAGCATTAGGTTCAAAAATTTATTCCAGAACTTTCATTAAGAATCGAATATGAAACAAAGGTTTAAACCAAGTTCCAGTCTAAAAGTTGCATTTGTAATGTTAAGCTGCAGTTTTTGTTGTTTTTTCCAAACGAAAGGGTAAAAGAAGTAACTCAAAAAGTACTGGAAGTGGTTGTGAGATTAAAATGGACATCCAGCATCCTTTTTATAATCTGCTGTTAGTTGGGTCTCCCGTAAACAGATCCATAGGGCCATAGTTCTAAGGGCGAAACAGTTCTTAACATCTGTGAAGACTCAGTCCTGTTGCATTCTAAATGAGAAAACAGTAATGAATTTAGTCAGAAATGTGGAATAGATAAATAACCAAATTACATGTATTTTAGCAAAGAATTTATGCAGTTGTGATTTACCTTTAGTTCATGAATATTAGGTCAGGTCAGCTATTTATTGTGCAAAGCATAACATGGACTTAATACCGTATCTCAATGCTTTTATTATTTTGCTCTCATTTAAGTATTACCATATATCTGCATCTAGTTTAACAGGGAGACATACAAGCAGAGTTAGTGTTTGATGAACTAAAAGTCCTAGTTGTCAAAAAGATTCTTAACATTTGTCCACAGCCAACTGCATTTAATTCAGATACAAAGCAGCCATCTTCTAAGACTGTATACTGCTCTTCTGCGGGCAAATAAAAGCTCACACACTTAGCTATCCTGCTGCCGATGTTATTGCTGGGGAAATTGTTTAATGACAGTGATCATGAAATATGGTCAGTGATAGATGTACAATCTAGAAATAAACACCAAACATACTTATCGCTATCTTATAATGTATGACAGCAACAGTACCAAAAGCACTTTTTTCCTATTTTTAGTCAGACTGTTTTGAATCAGTATACTCATCAGAAACAGGCAACTCTACTTACTAGACTGATCTGTTTCGTTACAGACTTCAAGCACTATGCTTAAGTATACCATAATTCTTTCAACTAAACTGAACTGTACAGTTCAGTTCGTACGTACGACAACCAAGAATACTAAACTAAGCAAGTGTCATAGTTATTGTTTCATTTGCACAGGCATATTGCTTAAAGTAGTTAAATGGACATAATTAAGACGATAAAACAAAAACACGAAATATAGGCCAATTGAACTTGCCGAACAGAAGACAAAGAATATATATATTGCTTTCCGACTGAAAACAACAGGCAGTTGTTCATAAAAACATAATTCATAGTACAATAAACCTTTCTACAGTAAAATCATGCACTGACAGTCTATCTGGACACAATCAACTATGTGAATAAACTCACTATGACTTGAGATATCATGCCAGCATGCAATGGAAGTGCAGTGTAACGCAGTCAAACGTGGCGAATAAAAATATAAAAAAAAGATCAAAATTAGCTATATAATCTAGTTATTTAATTAAAAATACATTATGAAATGTCAAAACCTGTGGTTATTTGAACGCACAAATGACCGATACATTAAGTTTACATGGTTGCGTTGCGGATAAGATCACCCTTACCGCCACAGTACCAGCCATTACAATACAACACTACCATACCTAAGGATGAGGTTCGCAATCGAGGTATTTCAGACTCATTAACATTTTTCTTCCAATTACCTGGAGTACTAGTATAGAGACGATAATCTTTCATATCCAATGATTAAATTCTCATTTTTGTCAGTAGGCGGAGCGTATACAGGCGCGTTGCTTGAAGTGCTTCACGTTATGGATCGTAAGACAGTCATCAAAAGCAAACTACAGGGAATAGAGAGGTATTAGTCTGTATGTATTTTAAAAGATATTAGCTATAACCCTGAACACATAACAGCACTTGAAGAACATCTATCATGGCAGATCATAAATAATGATTATGATTTCGAAGCTAATTTAGCTCTGCTTAGATTGTATTTAACAAGTCTTTGTGATTAGCTCTTCTTACATAGATATCAGTTCTATCCGGAACGTTTCAACGCTGAGTGTGCGAGGTTAGTGCTGCTGAAGGCAATTATAAGTATGAGTCACTCAGATTTTACATTGTGCAAGTACTTGATTCACCTCGAACATGTAAGTAGTTGATATACATTATTAAAGTTAGCTCAGTGAAGAGCCACTTTCACAGGTTGTGGAACTTGGGTTTCTCCTGGAAACCTGTCGGTTTTCCGAGTTTTGGGTTTGTTCAGTTTCATTGTTTTACTTAGTGTGTAGACGAAAGTTAAAGAAAACCCCAAAATTTTTTCTGCTATCCCTGGATTCCGTGAATCTGTATGTAGATGTAAGTACTGCCTTCTCCAGAATTTTATATACTTAACTTTTTATGTGTAATCTAGTTTTCATAGAAACAGTTTCGTGCATTTGAATCCATTCATTTACCTTGTCTATATCTTGCTTTATGATCATTGTTTAAGAATGTTTTTTTTAAAAAACTAGGTTCGTCTTGTGCCCATAATTCTTAGTGGTCTGATAACATTTTCCGAAATTTGTTACTGTGATCTAAAGTAAACTACAGCGGTGTACTCAATAATTACAACTTGTAGACATCTGTCACCAGTCAGTCAGTCAACTACAACGTAGGACCAGGCACATATATGCATCGGCCCAAGTTGCCACACTTCATTAGCCCTAAATTCATAGGAGTAGTTACTTCAATAGTAATATATGGACGAAAGATTTCATATAAGAATACAATACAGAGAGAAAGAATTATTTGGTAGAAAGAAAGGTAATTTAAAACAATTAGTCCCTTTGATAAATTTCGATAATGCAATGAGAAGACGTAGTTTGTCAGAATTATGTGATATATTTGCACAATACATTTCGAACAATCTGATAACACATATACTTGTTAAGAACATTTATATATGAAAAATTAAAAGGTCAACTAGACAGGTTAAGGGTAAGTCATAACAAAGGAAAAATATTAAAGTACACAAAAACAAATGTGATTATCAATCTGGATAGTAAATCAGTACTACCAGGGTAGGTTAAGTGTAAGTACAAATTGTTTCTAAACACATAAAGGGGGTTTCAATTTTCGTATAGCCAAGGCTTCAATAAACCTTAGTATACGTCCTTGAAGGCTTTTGTACAAAGGTATAAAAAGGTATAAAACAATTTTAATCTCATAGTTTAAAGGGAAAACAAAGAGTGTATACACCAATGCCATTATGATCGATTCTCAATCATATCACTCAGTCTCCAACCATTGGTCAAGACAGTCGTGTGGACCCCAACCAAGTAATCTTCATTTATCAACATGACTCATACCAGAGGTTAGTGACTTCAAGGACTGATGCCACGTTTTGGTTTGGTCGCCCCCAACTTTCTTCCAACCGTCTCCAACACTGGTCAGCATTGCACGCCGTGGTAATGAGTGTTCAGGTATATGTAACACTTTGCCCAACCATCTCAGTCGATGAAGATTCACAATCTCATCAACTGATTTGTCATCGTGATCTGCGTCTAGCTTCACCATTACTTACTCAGTAATTATTAGCCACGTTTCGCAGTCGTAAAGTAGAATAGAATGAATTGCTGTACAGTATACCCGTCCCTTAATCATTAGACGGTTATCTCACCCTTTCTATGGTTGAGACAAAAGCCAAACGAGCTTTTCGAATCCTTGTATAGATTTCGTCAGACACCAACCCGTTAGGGCTGATCAAACTTCCAAATAAATGAAGTTGTCAACGCGTTCAACTATTTCACTCTATATCCTTAATTCAGGTGTTGATGCCGACCAGTCCTGAAGCACTGCTGATTGAGTATTTTAGTTGTTCTCTGACAAATAATATGTTCATCTAATTGATATTGTGCTGTGTTCTTGTTTAGTTAATCACAGTTCACTTATCCACTGTAGAAGAGTAATAAGCTAGTGATTTAAGCATTTATATTCAGACTAACTTTGGCAACCATCGCTGCTACTTTGGTGTAGTTTTCTTTTGATTGCCTTTGTGAGTATTGGCTGGAACACGTCTCTTTAGGTTCTTCTATGCCCATGTTAAACAGTGTATTTCTTCAAAGATTACTAAAAAGATGAATTACCAGATACATAATCAAGTGCTGTACAGGCAAGTTAGTCAAAATCGTCATGTTGAATGGGCGAGATTTTACTGTGGCTAAAATGAAAGCCGTTGTAAGTTAGGTAATTGGTCAGAGAAAAAATCCTTCACTACAAGTATACGATATATATAAGAAATGCGACAGGAACTCATTAATACACTTTTGAGATTCTTTTCCACAATTCATACTTAATTTGAACCCTATTTTCCGATCTGATTCAATTTTTGAAACTTAAAAGGTTCACCATGTAGTTTTAAGTGTAGTTTCCGAAGACCAAAAATGACACTTCCTGAAGTTCAGTCGTCGGCTTTGATGAGGTATGGTGATAAAGCTGTAGAGGGGTAGATAATTATAAGGAAGTGGAGGTGCGATTCGGTCTTGAACAAGGCAATCTTGTGTTCTGGTTAAGATGTGTGGGTGGTCGTCACTTCTCGGTCGCACGCATTGTTGAGGCATACTTCATGGGAAGGGAAGTGGTCTATTAGTGATTTTGTTAATTTGAGAGCGCAAATGCGCAGCCCACGGGACACATGTTCGCGGTTGTTTACGCATGGCCTTTTTGAGAGTAGTTTTTAATGTTACCTCTATACTTTTAGGACCTTACCACTGACGACGTGAACTTGTGGGGTAGGGTAGTGTTATGTTACATTGCGGGGAGACTGTCGGAAGGGGATATCTCACTGTTTTCCAATTAATCTATCTAGCATATTAAAACCCAAAAGAACAAGTTTCGCTGTCATTGTAGTTCGAGTGGGTCATCTTGACAGAATTGTTCAGGAAGTGACTGGATATTATCACTTCAAATTCCACTCAAATTTTTCACCTGTTTGGTGATGTAGTTTTCGGTAAAAATTAAGTATTCACTTATCACTATACATTCAGTGTGGCCATAATAATAATCTTCGTTTGAAACGTGATGTTAGCTACCAAAGAACTGTGGTCGCCTATCGATGGGAAACTATCTAAGAACTCCTGAACTGTAGCGCATTCTAAAATTCATTTGAGTTCGAAGAAACCAGTAGTTGGATTTGACGCACTTTTTTGATTAGAGTAATGGCTGCATGATTCACAAATAACGTATAGTATTTCAGAGCGCATAACCTTCATCTACTCCTTATCAGTCTATGTGAGATAAGATCAGTGACTATCTATTATGCATTTCACTAATCTTCCCGATAACTGCTTATACTCTTATTACCTCTACCACTACGGGATTTGGATCGACCACGGCATCTCTGTGCTAATGTGGTGTGGCAACTCGAACTGATGTACGTACGTACGAAGTTCTACGTTGTTACTGGCTGACTGACTGAAGGTAAATTTTAAAACCAAAACTCCTCTAATTATTTTTCAATGGATTAATAAGGTTCCAACTGGAACACATACCATATTTTATACAAATCCGGTGATATAATTCACTAATGGTTCCATCCAAACCAAAGTAGGTGAATCAGGGTTGAACCTGCAAACTAGTCGCACTATAAATGTTTGCAAACCAATCATGGTTGAGGGCCTACTATTACGCAACATGTCCACTAGTCTAGTTCATAATTTCAATAGCTTAGCACCCTAGTCGTTTATTTATCTGAACACAAATATTGGTACAAAGGGCACTGAATACACAAGTCACTTTATTTGTGATACTGCCTGGGTGCCAAGATCGAAGCAGGTGGTTTTCTTAGAGGGACACTCGGAGCCTTCAACATAAAGGTCTGATTCTCAAGGCAGTGGAGAAACGTTAGGAGATGCAGTCCCATGATAGCCTCTGTCAGAGAAGTTCTACTCACCGCATTCTCGTGGCGGGGGCGTTGTTTATGAGATTGAGAGGACGAAGAGCGAATGTCCGGCGCTTTGACCGGATTCAAAACCAACGGTGCACATGGGCTCCAGTATCCTGAAGGAGCATGGTTTAAACCAGTCTATGTCCCGCTAACACCTATTCTTTAATTCAATTCACAAAATCTGCTACGACTGGGTAAAATATGTAGTAAGTATCAAACAAAACATTTCTGTGGTGACTGGAATAATCTTGGCAAAAACTGAACTTAAACGGCCAGCCCCCGAGTCTCTAAACTATAAACCTAATTCACAAAGCAGTAAGTTAACGTTGAGAAACGGTGTCCTAAGGTAGACATCAACTCGGATGCAGGTACATCCAGGACGAAACGCGCGTCCTGGATTCCACTGCCGGTCACTATCTATCTTTGCTTGTAAGATCGAGGTGAGCTTATTGGATCCGTGCCAGGTTTTCGTCAAATAGGTGAAGCGATTGACAAATTCAATTACTTCACTTTCTGTGGTCGATCCAGAAGACGACCTAAACAAATTCTGAAATAACTTTTTTGAGCGGTAGGGAGAGAAACACATCCTAATGACACTCGAACTGTTGGTTCATGTGACCGAAAGATTGCGTTTTGTTAGGATCTTCACCAAACAAAACTATTTTTGAAACCTTAGAGTTAACAGAGAGGTCAAAAAACAAGTGCATGCCATTGACCAAGAATTGGCCGATATAATGTTGTTAGTTGTTCATCTGGTCAGCAACTGACCTGAATTGGACTGCACACCATTGAAAAAACCTACGCCAACCTCCTCATTGAGTGGAAGTTTGGCTTTTTGTGTTCAGCCGCAGTAATTCAGATAAGAGTACATCAATTTCATTAAAGTATCCTACGTCAAGAAGTAAGTCTCCTGATAAGTGATTAATCCTTGAGAATTCAGGTGAGAAAATTTATCTGTGAAAGAATTTCTATGACTAAATGAAATAAAAATTAGGAATCTCTAGAATGGTGGAGTTGAATGCTACCATGAGGTTAAAAGTTCGAGCGTCGGTAAGAATGTCTACATTGGAAAATCTGTTATCTGTAACTAATAGACAGTAAAGCAACTTCTGTTTAAGTGTACAAAGAATATCCACCTCACGTTTAACAACGAAATCTGCAAACAAATAAATAAAGTAGCAATCAGATTTCTCCTAGGTTCAATTCTTGATGATATTTTTATAGCCAAACTGGAAGTTTGATTATTACATGATGCTCTTAATAACTTGGAATACTATTACTAATACGTAGACGATATACTAATTATCTACGAAAAATCAATTAACCAACAAGAACTGTTGGGAACAGTAAAAGACGCACATCCACGGACTATTTGCATATGTGAAGAATACAGCATTCCTTGGCGCTGGATGTTTTACTAGGAAATATGTTTTGAAAAGAAACCCGGACGGGACAATATATCAACTACCATAGCTTCACACCACTCCAACATAAATTTATTCTAACTAAACACCTGTCACAGAACCCAACGACTATACTCTGAGGATAATATAGGAGAATTAAACAAACTAAGGACGACGTTACTACAAAATGCATATCGCAGTAAGTTCATCAAGAAATACGTAACTTAGCTTGAAGGCAAGATGCAGCCTTCCACAGATGAAAAGAAAAAGGTGATATATCGAGTGAGATTCTAACACGTGGTCGGAAGTGGGGTGGCTCGCCCTCCCTCTCGAAATGCTCTCACACGGCCACGCGTATATAACCTCTGCCAGAGAAGTCCTACTCACTGTCTTCTCGCACCAAGGGTGTTGTTTACGAAATTGAGAAGACGAAAAGCGAATCTCCAGCGCTTTAACCGGATCCCAAACCAATGATGCACATGGGCTCCAGTATCCTGCAGGAACAAATGGCGAATGAACCAATCGTTGGTCACCGGCTACCATGGGACTGCATCTTCTCACGATGCTCCACTGCCTTGTGGATCAGACCTTAAGGTCGGAGGCTCGGGGTGTGGCTCCCTAAGGAAACCATCTGTATCGGTCTGGACACCCGGGCAGTATCCGAGCCCTCACATAAATCGAATGATTTATGTGGCGCATATCTATTTGGTGCCTCCTTGTACCAATGTTTATGTGTTTAAATAAAATAAAATCCCGTGGTGCGAAAATGAACTGAGTAGGACATCTGGGGTATTGGTTGTATGCATGTGAGAGTATTTCTCGAGAGAGAGCTGACTCTCCCCGCTCTCCGATGTATCGGGACATTTGGAGGGCTCGTCTGGGATGCAGTCTCATGGTAGCCAGTAACCAACAGTTGGTTCATACACCATTCATTCATTGGATATTTAGAGTTGCATATATGTGTATATATATTTCTTTCCTTTAAATAATTTCAATTGTGTTTTCATCTCTATGTCTCTCTGTCTCTACATACATATATAGTTATTGTTCAAATTATTTCTCAAACATATCAACGTATATCAAAAACCTTATTAATGAGCTTTTTGGATATGTCAGAGAATGATTTAAAACAATTTATTAAACAATTTGAATGGTCCGAAATCACTGATAATCATCATCATAATCAACTTATCTTAATTAATAATCATGAAGAGAATATTAAATCAATACAAATACGTGAACGTGTCAATTTCGATTCGATCACATCAATGTCCGGTGCATTTAGACCATCAAAAAGTGATTTTTTCATTAAAACCAACATACAATCATAATCATATCAATAAATAAATAAGTAATTCAATGATTTATTTCATAAAAAAAAGAAAAGAATGTTCCATTTTTAAATCATTGAAATAGAAAAAAAATCTTGTGTAATCATTTTTCTTTTTTATTATACATTTTACCCAGCAATTGATTTGTGTGTGTGGGTGCTTGTGTGACAACAAAATAATCATGATATTGATGAATAATCAGTAAGTCAATTAGCAACAACGTAGAACATTGTATCTACGTACGTATGTACATCCAGTTCAAGTTGCTATAGTATAAGTCAAATAATCTATAATCAGAGATAAGAGAAGAGATTATAAAGTTAAATTAAAGGAAATGGTAACTATTCAATTGTTAAACATTAGTGCTTATATATTTAAAAAAATCTTATTTGTACAAGCAAAAACTGAAGATGAATGAAGACAGAGAGAGAGAGAGAGAGAGAGAGAGAGAAAATGTTTTAAAAACTGAGATCATTCCATTGTGGATAAATTGAGAAATGTTGTTTGAAACATATGCTTAGATACTTATTGTGAGGTAGATGGAAAAAGAGTAAGTAATGGAAGAAGCCAATGGAATGATTTATTTAATAAATAATCATTCGATGGAGTGGTAGGAGTAGTTGTAGTAGGAGGAGGAATGTTAGTTGTTGTTTTTATGTTGGATGACAAGTCATATTTATTTCGATTTATTTTTGAAATAGTGCCAAATTTTTGTTTGATTACTTGACTGAATCGGTGAATAGCTTTAGTAGTCCATGACCAAGAAGGTAGTAGATCACGATGTGTATTATTTGTAATCTATTATAATATGAAATAGACAATACAGAATAAAGAAGGGCATTAAATGGACATTGTAATATTATATTAAAAGATTTAACAGCTAATTCTAGTCTGTTCATTTAACTTAGCGTGAAAGTTTTTTAAAAATAAGCGAATGAACATTGCATATACACGGAAAAATGGGGAGCAACAATGATAATATTCAAACCGTGACCAATGTAGCTGATACTTTCAATCTACAATGTAGATGAATCCAAACAGAACCTTATATAAGCAAAGATGGATAGTGGGTAGCAGTGGAATTCAGGACGCGCGTTTTGCTCTACTTGCGACTCGTCAGCTGGATGTACCTGCATCTCAGAGTTGATTTTCATACTGGGACTTGAACCCAGTACCGCGATTTATTTGAATCTTCTTACCCCATTGCGCAAACAAGTGGCTATCAGGACTCAGTAGCTAAGCGGATAACGCGATGGCGCTTGAAGCGAACGGCACTGGGTTCGAGCCCCAGAGTGGAAATCAACTCCGACATGCAGATACATTCAGCTGACGAGTCCTAAAATAGGACGGAACGCGTGTCAAACTGGACTCCACTGCTAGCCCCTATCCATCTTTGCTTCTAATGCTTGTGAATTAAGGCAATATCGAGGTAATATACATATGCCAATAAGAAACTGACCAGTTGCGGTGCTAAACATCAATGGGAGGATTCAATTAAACAATACCAAGCAAATTTAGAACATTGTATACAAATTGCATAGTCACTCTTTATGTAGCATCAGTAGTGCTTTTGTATAGTTTAACACATTAGTGTGTGTTTTCGATCAATTTGACGAGGCAAGTTAAATAATCACGCAAAGCTTTTAAATTATACCCAGTGTTTCGCCACAGATATTTTATATGGTTTGAAGGTCATTTTCATCAGGAACTATAACTTACAAGATAAAAACTAAAAGCCGGGAAACAATAAATAACCGATTCACCTCAGTTTGACACGGATCTTTAAATCTGTTGGCGAGTGGAGCTAATCCTTGTCGGGTAGAGACAGTTATCTACCTCAGTACAATGGAAGTTGGTCGCGCAATTTCTTGGATTAGTTGATGTTAGAAACTATCACCATTGGATCCCGGCTCAGTGGTCCAGTTGGTTAAGCGTTCGCGCGCGAGACCGAAGGCCCTGGGTCCGAATCCCGCTTGCGGGATCGTGAATGCGCACTGCTGAGGAGTCCCATAATAGGACGAAACGGTCGTCCAGTGCTTCCAGGTTTTCAATTGTGATGGTCTAATATCAATTGGTTCATTATCTCAATAAAAAAACTTAATAATCTCCACAACACCTATACTAGGAATGCAATATATCTTTGAAAAAGCTGAGTTGATATTCTATGGTACACATTCCTGACTTCAGCTAACTCTTAAAATATCATGGCCATCATTGATAAATAAAACGTATCACCACTCACTGATAGCTTGATAAACGCTACATACGTCACAGATTTCCGCTAGAACTTAAGAAACTCTCCAAGATAGTCAGTAACTAGTCAGAATATCTTAGATGCTTCTTCTTAAGTAGTTAGTAATTGTGGAAGATTATCTGATTGGTCACATATTGAATTCTGTTCAAATTTATTTGTTGTGTTTTATTACTTTGATAAATAAGAGTGTGCAGCATGATACAATAACGGTAAGTTTGAAACACCACTCTAACTTTATATTCAATGTCTGGTAATTTAATGTTCATAAAACTGTTACAACATTGTTTTAGAGTATTATTGATTGCCAGGATGACCTGGCCCTAGGTTTCGGGCTATTTGGTACACGTCAGTAATCTTGAGGGAGTTTACGATTCTTTTAGAGTACAGACCCGCATCATCCAGTGTTCACAATTGGAGACTGCACTACTGAGTTATTTGGGTTTCGATTTGTCTATGGAAATCGATCAGCCCAAAGAACGGTGCTGGTCACTGCTCAATTGCAAACTGCCATAGTATTAATAGCTATTTGACTACTGTTTACCTCGACACACAATACTAGCTTGGGTAGGAATAGGCTTCACGAAAGCCAGGAGCGGTCAAACTAAGACACGGGATCATTGACTGTTGAGATTAAGTGTTCAGAAATTTCATACGATTGATTGCCTTGATGAATTTGAATAAATCCTGAAAAAGCATTAATGCGGAATCTTATAAATTTATTATATTTCGTAGTTTCTCATCAACTGCTTACAACCATTGATATGTATTGAAAGTTAACATTGAGGTAAGGTATAAAGTGAAGCAATTAGCATAGATAAACGAAACGAATTATATATATATATATATATATATATATATATATATATATATATATATATGCGCTCAAAAACGGGTTACAGGTCATTTGGATTTGGCATTGAAAATATAAGTGGTGGGTGATGCATTAATCAAATGAGGTCCATAGACAGATGAGATAGATTGTGTGATAATTTTAGAGGTTATGAAGGGTTTACATAAGATTACTGGAATTAAAGGTCGATAAAATGGGTTACGTAAATAATTGAACAGGATTTGAAGAGTTCGCAAAAGTTTTCACTCACTTAATTCTGTTTCAATACATATATGGTTGGAAGCAGCTGATGAGAAACCACGACATATGATGAACTCATATTATTCTGCATGAATGTTTGTTTTAGCTTCATTCGAACTAAACTGTGCAAACTGTTAGGTTAAGAGCCGCGTGACCAGTGGTTGGGAACACAGGGCGACATAACTTAGTGACAGATCCACTCTTGATTCCTAGTACTTCGTCATGAATACGTTTTCATTTTTCCTCTCCAACTATATTCATGATATCTTTCTTATAGTCACTGGTGCTACTATTATTTCAATTACTGCCATTTATCTTAATAATTCTGTCTTGTGCTAACGTAACACGGCAGGTGCTAATAAGGGATCAGGTTATTTAGTCTCATATTACATATTTTTCGAAATGCTAGTCTCCATGATAGTAATATTTGCTGTTACCTGATTGATTGTTTTTGACTTCTGTACGAGATATAAAGTTATCCTAGAAGCCCCATTCTCACTATCTCATTATTAATGCGTGGATTATTAACGTTAAAGCGTTTTCGTGCATCAGATGTACGGTCTATTCTATTCGTTGCGTCGTATTAGAAAAAGCCTCAATCATTCGTAAAGGGAATTTACCCACAGGAAACCCCAATACATTAATTGTTTTTACTAAGGTTTAACAATCACAAATGAAAATTTCTAATATCCAATTCAGTGGCCATGATTCCCAGTACTGCCAATTTTTATCGCCTCATTTCCGTTGGTATTTGACTGGTCTTCCCAGTCTCTCACATTGTCCAGATGTTCCATGTACCTATAAAAGTTGTTCTGGCTGTTAGAAGAGGCATCGGCCTCGTGACTTCGGAAGAATCTCGGCTTTCATCCTGAGGAGTCATAATTCTTCCTTCAACTCTGAGGGCAGAGTTTAGATGGTTTAATTTGTTTAATCTGGTTGGCGTTTTTTCTTAGCAAGACGGGGTTGCCGACCCTATGACCAAACCTCCTTTACTCGGGCTTGTGACCGGCAGTAACTTGAGAAGAGCTACAGGCGGCCATATCAATTTGTATATATAAATGAACTGGTGAAGAACAAAAAGACAACAGTTACCTGAATATCAGAATTCAATGCAACACCAAATTGATCAGCATGTTCAATAACTTTGGAAGAACTTTTATTTGAATTTTTACATGTCATTGATTGTATACATGAATATTGAGCAATTGGAGACATTAATCGATACACTTTTTCTTTATTTGAATGATTTTCTAAAACTAATACAGTTTGATGAATACAATGACCCTTCAATGGAGGTTGAGTATTGTGATTATTATTATTATCAAAGCATGCATCTTGTATACGTAATACTTTACATCGACTAGCTGAATACTAAAATAAATGAAATCAAATGTTATATAGAATAAATTATTGATTGAAAACAAATGATAATCATGAAATAATAAAACGTAAAAAAACAGTCCTCTTCTACTATAATTTATGTTGGAGTGATCCAGGAGATTTCTTGCAAAAGACAAGCAAGCATCAAAAAACACTAAGATCCGTTTCACCCAATCAGCGTTCACTTGAAGTTTTAGCCAAAAATATCAAGGAAGTGAAACGTCACATGCAGAGGTCCTGATTGGTTGATTGCTACACTGCTACTGTGTTTAGTAGCATTCCAGAATCTTCTAGCAACCCAAGGACATTTAAAATATAAAAGCCTCGTATTTCCTGTATTGAAATGAACCTTGGTGTAAAGTACTCCTCGCATACTTTGCGTCTTCTCCTGTTCGGGTCGCTGTATAGTTCTGAACTTGAACTACAGCAGTGATATGGCAAGTGGAATAAACTGTGCACATATAAATCTTTACGAAGCTAGCTAACTGAATCGAAATCCTGTACTTTATAGAAAGTAACTTTGAAATGCATCTCCTGAAGTTCTATTTCTTCAATTGTCATGACCTAAAGAGATAATTACATTTAAAATCAGGCAGTTATCACTGATGGTATTGAACGGTGAATACCCACTAAATCGACATCTAACCAAAGTTGCAAATAGAGATATTGTACATCGTACCGTCAATCAAAGACTTATTTTCGTTTTTTTTCCTGTCAAACTGTAGAAAAGTAAGGCTCGAACGTGTAACTTGTTGGTTGAAAGCCGAATACTCTACCCATTAGACCATCGCCTTTGTATTGCGAAAGCGGTTCATTCTGTCCCAGCTCAGTGCTTTAAAGATATTGTGCTTGCTGAGAAACACAAGGTTTGTAGCTCTAAACTCGTGATTGAGGAGTCCCGAAAATATTTATTTATTTAAACACATAAATATTGGTACGCAAATCATCCGAATTGTGTGAGGGCTGGGTTACTGCTCGAGCGCTTAGAAAGAAGCCGTTGGTTTTATTTAGGGGGCCACTTCCCGAGGTCTAATCCATAAGGCAATAGAGCGATACCAGGAAATCCAGTCCCATGGTAGTCGGTGACCAACAACTGGTTCATACACCATTTGTGCCTTCGGGGTAATGGAGCTAGCCTATGTGAACCATTGGTTTTGAATCAGGTTTTCTCAACTCCCTTAAGTAGATCCTCCCTGTCTATCAACCCGACTAAAGCACCGGATATTCGTTTTTCATCTTCTCAATTTCGTAAACAACATCTTCGCCACGAGAAGTCAGTGAGTAGAACTTCTCTGGCAGTGGCCATGTAAGAGAATTTCGAGAGAGAAAGAGAGCTGACTCTCCCCACTCTTAGCTGATGTTAATTTGTTGCGTCAGTATCAATTCATCAGGTGATATAACTATTAAAAGAAATGAAACAGAACACACAAAAAAACTTACATAATTCGGTGAGTTGAAAAGTTGAGTTTTATACATTTTCGTTTTATTCAATTGTGAAGATAAAATAGACGACCATGGAATCAATTGTTTTGTATGAGTTTTAAATAAAACTAAAAAAGCATATTCATTATTATTATTATTTAATGAAATAAGTAGTACAGCCCAATAATTTTTAAATTTTTTATAAAATGTATGTGAAAATAAAGATTTTCTTAGATATTTACAATGACAATTAGTAGAAATTAATTGAGGGGATAAATGTTCATTTCTATAGTCTGTAGATTGTTCACCATCATGGATATTATTATTATTATTATTATTATTATTATTATTATTATTATTATTATTATTATTATTATTACAAGAAGAAGAGGACGATAACGAAGTAGACGATTCTAGTGTCATGGAAGATAAAGAAGTTTGTGAATAAGAATATGAAAGATTAGCAGTAATAGTAGGTGGTGAATGTATTTCATGTAGATTATAATCCATTTCTGTTTGTATATTTAAATTATTTTGTTTTTTGATTGGTGATTGATTGTTATTTACTTGTAATTCCAGAGTTGATGGATTCATATTATGAAGAGTTTGACAAAATGGAATAGTGGAAATATTGAAATGATCTGTAAATGAAGTTGACAATTGTGGTGGTGGTGGTGGTGATGATGATGATGTATTACTACTGATTGATGATGAATTATGGAACTTGGCAAGTTTAAATGATGTTAAAGAGGTAGTACAACATAGTAAAGGACCCTAGAGATAAAATACGAAACAATAACAATAAAAATAATCATAGCGTAATATTAGCATTATTTAATTATATCTAATCTGAATCTATGACTTAACACCAATAATAAATATATCCCGATGAGTAGAAATTTGTGTTTCTGATGTTTCGTGACCTAGTATAACTCACTTCTTCCGAATACACAGATAAATACGAATTAAGGTTAGTTTTGAATTATGAAAACATATTCATTATAAAATAGATGAGTATATTGAGGCGATTCACAGGATGTACATATATATACCAACCAAAATTGATCAAATTTTAGTCAAAAATGTGAATAACGGGATAATCCAAACTATTTTCTAATTGAACTAAACAAACACACGTAGTTTTCATTATACCTACTAACTGAAAAATTTGAAATAGTGAGAATCAACTTGACAAGCAATTAGATAACATGGCGACCCCCTACACCAAACCAACGATGGACTCAAATAGACCATATTGACATCAGTAATCGTTGGAGAGGGTCGGTAGAAGATTGTCGCTCATTCTGGAGTACCTGCTTGGACTCCGGACACGCCATGACACGGGCACGCATCTGCTTGAGCCTCACTGGACGCAAAAAAGCCACATTAAAAAGACCCATTAGAACTGAGTTGCGTAACGAGAAAACCAAAAGTAAGTTTCAGGAACAACTGAGGTCACACTTAGGTAGTTCTGAAAACGAGGCTGACCCAGATATTGCTTGGAAAGATATACAATCAGCTGTGGAAACAGCAGTGACATCTATCAATGATTTAAACCACAGGGTTACAAAGAACCAATGGATTTCCTCAAGGTCTATTGCACTGATGGATTCTCGTAGACTCATCCCATCACGCTCTGAACACGATGAAGAGCGACAACAAATTAGATATAGGTTAATCAAAAATGTAAGGAACGACCATGAGCAGTGGTGGGCAACGAAAGCAAAAGAGATGGAAAAGGCGGCGGCTATAGGGAACACAAGACAGCTCTACAGACTAATAAAAGAAACTGGAATTAATAAATCAAGTGTAAGTCAGACTATTTCGGAAAAAGACGACACTCTAATCTGCTCTCAGTCCAGACGTTTGGAACGATGGGCGGAACATTTCAGAGAACAATTCAACTGGCCTTCAGCTACTCTACAACAACCCTCCATTCCCAGACAGTGTGGATGGAACATTGAAGTAGGTTCCCCAACTCTAGCAGAAGTTCAAAAGGCTATAGTTAATCTGAAACGAGGAAGGGCAGCTGGTCCAGATGGATTGGCTCCAGAAACCTTTAAAGATGGTGGTTCAATTTTAGCTATTAGGTTGATTAATATTTTAGCTAAGATCTGGGAGTTAGACGTTATCTCATCTGACTGGTCACAATCACTTATCGTCCCAATATATAAGAGAGGGTTAATATAGTATCTAAAATACTAGCCTCGATAATTATCAAACGCCTACCTAAGACTCGTGAACTACAAACACGAGAGCATCAAGCTGGTTTCAGACCAGGTTGTGGCTCCATGGACTAAATATTCATCATTCTTCAGGTTCTAGAACATAGGCATACTTATCGGCGTCCGACAATGGTGGTCTTTCTTGACTTAAAGGCAGCATTTGACTCCGTAGACCGCGAGATTCTGTGGCAATGTCTGTCATTAAAAGGCGTACTTCAGAAGTACATAAACCTTGTGAAGGCTCTTTACTCGAACACTACTGATCGAGTCAGAGCTTATAGCGAACTGTCATCTGATTTTGCAACCTCAAGTAGTCTGCATCTAACAACTTGGCTCAGACTAGAAGTTACTGACTTCAAGCACTGATGCCACGTTTTGGTTTGGCCGCCCCCAACTTTCTTCCAACCATTTCCAATGCCGGATAGCGTTGCACGACGTGGTAATCGGTGTTCAGGCATACGTAACACATGGTCCAACCATCTCAGTCGATGAAGATTAACAACCTCATCAATTCATTTACTATCATTCCCTAATACCCTGCATCTATCCTCACTATTACTTACCGGGTGATCCCAGCAGACGCGAGCAATATTTATAAGGCATCTGTGGTCAAATACTAGTAGCTTACGAGTATCAAACAGCAGAACACTAACCTCAACTTTCTCGAAAGAGATACACAAAAAAATTAAACAAAATATTAAATATTCAAAAAAAGAAGCTTACTTCTCGAATTACTTCTAAATTATTTTCCAATTTTATGTTAGAATAAGATGAGTTTACTGGAGAGGATTGTGAATGAGAAAAATTTGATGTTGACATTAAAACCGGGGAATGATGATGATGATGAACAAAAGTAACATTCTCATCATTTATAATATGTTTATAATCATTATTATTAGAAATTGTTACTTGGACAGCTGCAAGAGCAGCTAAGGCTAAATGAGATAGATTTGTAGAAGAATAATGTTGAGATTGTTGTTGATGTGATGATAACTTAGGTAAATGTAACGATGATGATCTTATTTTTGATGTAGGCAATACAAATGGAAATGTTTGTGAAAGACGATAATGAATTGAATCGATATGATTTGTTAATGGTGTAGTACAAATATTAAATGAATGATCTTTTTGAGGTGATATAAACAATGATTGATGGAGTATTGAAGGTGAACTACTAAGTGGAAAATTATGAAGTAATCGTTTAGCAACAGAGATTTTCTTTTCATCTAAAAAAGTGAAAATAAGAAGAATTTCAGTATAAATCGAAATGAAAGTGTTATGTTGTTTTTGGTGATATATATATGTATATTAAACATAATTTATAAAGGTGCAAGTGAGATAATGAATGCATAGGAATATGATAATTTAAGCTCATCATTAATAAACACACAAAATTCATAGTGTAATGAAACGTAAATTAAGCAATGATTAAATGAATACGGTGATAGTTTGTTGAATATAAGTAGACAAACAAGTTTGTTATTTTACTTAATAAAGATTCATTATAGTGCATGATTTGGTGCGACACACACACACACAGTACACGTGTATCAACATAAAAGATTAAAAGTAACTCTTGGATTCAGTGATAATGACTGTGAATAATGATAATATTAGTAGCAATAAAATGTATTCAACAAGGTGAAAAGCAGGAATGTGACACAATAGAATTATGAATATATCTTCTATGTAGTCTTCTTCGACTTCGATGCCTGTTACCCCCAATGGAGCGTAGATCGTCGACCAGCATTCTCCAACCCACTCTGTACTGGGTCTTCCTTTCTACTTCTATCCAACTTTTGTTCATTTTCCTCATGTTTATCTGTCTCCATTTCTCGGTGTGATGTGTTCTTTAGTCCTCCTCTTCTCCTTTGGCCTTCCGGATTCCATGTGATGGCTTGCCTTGTGACGCAGTTGTGTGCCTTCCTCAATATGCGTCCTATCCACTTCCAGCGCTTCTTCCTGATTTCTTCCTCCACTGCAATCTGATTTGTTCTCTCCCACAGTACGTTGTTGCTGATATTGTCTGGTCAACAGATCCGAAGTATTTTGCATAGACAAACTGTTAATAAACACCTGTATCTTCTAGATGATGGCTTTCGTAGTTTTCCAGGTTTCCGCCCCATACAGTAGAAATATCTTGACATTTTTATTGAAAATTCTGACCTTGGTGTTGGTGGACAATTGTTTTGAGTTCCAGATGTTTTTCAGTTGTAAATATACTGCTCTTGCTTTGCCGATCCGCGCCTTCACATCTGCATCAGATCCTCCGTGTTCATCAATGATACTGCCCAAATATGTAAAGGCTTTTACATCTTCTGAATTTTCTCCGCCAAGTATGATTCGATTGATGCATGTTGTGTTGTATTGGAGAATGTTGCTTTTCTCTTTATGATCTTCTATGTAGTAGTATGTGTTATTTATTTCTTATCAATTTTAGCTAACTTCCTGAACAGCTGTTCCGTTCTTGAATAAAACTTGTTATTAATAAGCAACTACATAAAATGGAACTGAAGACAATATCTTGCGATAAACATAATACTATTGAATCACTGAGTTGAAATCATACAGTAGGGATAAGGGATGCAAACAAATCAAGAGTATTCAACCATAACGAAACGCCTGTTCAATATTGTAAATAAGTTTTTAAGTTGATAAATGCTATCTCACTATAGAAAACCATCTAGATATCATATGAGAATCTTGACAAGACCTGTTAAAATCTTATACTAATCGAGAAATTTTCAATGGGATATATATTCCTTTTATAACACATAGGTGAAAAATCAATAAGACATGTGAATACAGGTGCATAAACGTCTATACAAACATAAATGTGGAAACAAAAGTAACAAATCATATGTAGCTGTGATGAACAAATGAAATGAGTCTTGCATAACAACAATAGTGGTAGCTAATATCCCCCCACACATATATACACACACACTCACACAGTGTAAATGTATCACTGAATTCTTTTACTTACTATGTACATTTAATTATATTAGGCCATATAAATGCTTCGGTATGTACAGTCTAAAAAAACACCTTAAATACATAGAGAAAAAGAAAACTGAGGGGGGGGAGGCATAAACATAGAATTTAATCTAATTCTTTTACTCTCTTTATCTATCTCTTTCCTAATTAAGTTGTATATGTCAACACAGTTGAAAAACGAATAGAAAGAAAAACAACAATCCAATTTAACCTAAAGTCTTGTAGTTAATTTACGTTCAGTAGATGCATTACAATGGGGTAGATTTTTCTTTCTTTGATAATGTCTATTATTTAAATCTTTAAATGATGTATTAGTAACAAGCATTGTAGAAGATTTATGCTTACTACTAGTACTATTATTATTATTATCATTGTCAGTAGTAGTAGTGATATTTGTACACTTTTTCTGTTCATAATTTGATATTCCTGTATCTGATATTTTAGTAGTATAGTTGTGTTGATGTTGTTTTATTCTACGACATGGTGTAACAGGAGCAGTTTTTGCATTGGATATATCATGAAGGAATATAGATGATTGATTTTGTGGATTAATTGATTTTGATTCCATAATACATTGTAATTCAATGACAGAATTATGCGATGATGAAGGTGATGATAATGATGATGAATAAATAGGTGCTGAATTGCCAGAAATCATTTGCTCTTTTTTTATGGATTGTTTATTATTATTATCTGGATTGTTTAAGCAATCAGTGAATACAAGAAGGTGAGGTGAAGATGTTGAAGAATTAGACGATGAATGATCAAACATCAAATTGATATCATCATTGCGTTGTTTAGAAGTTTTGATATTGGTATTAATATTATTATCATTATTAGTATTCATATATTTTTTGAGTATTGTAGGTGAGGATTTGTTGATGAATCCATGGTTCTGATTGGATAAGGAATTTTTCGGAGATTCACTACAGGACAGGGTTGTGACAAGTAATAAATATAGACAAGCGAGAAAAAACACAATAAGTACATAGGCAATTGTACAATAAATAAATAAGTTAGACAAATAAACGTAGAATTCCTCACGGAGCCCCTCTGGGGCTACTGCCGTTCCCAAGCCCGGGATGAAGGAGGAGGATTAGGCATGGGGTTAGCGACCACATCCCGTAAAAAACTAACTCGCTAAAAAACGTTAACCACTAACTAAGCTCTTCAAATGGATTATATATATGGTTAAGAGATAGACTCGTAAGTGTAGTGTAGGGGTGGGGTTATGGAGGTTTTAGGTGGTTGAAGATAGTTCGGAATAAGACGTGGATATAGGTTTTGTGATAGTCGGAACTGATCTGGAAGGCATACCTACTATCTTGTGAGAACTGATGCGCCTATGGAATTCAAACATGCATCACCCAGCTTCACAGTCTGAGATGTTAACACTGAGCTATTCGTGGTGACGTGTGATATTAAAATATTGCAGTAATATATATTTGAACACAGATGCTGGACAAAGGAGCACTAAATACATATGCGCCATACAAATCTCATTTGCTTTGTGTGAGGGCTGTGATATGGCTTGGGTGTCCAAACCGAAGCAGGTGGTTCCCTTAGGGTGCCACACACGGAGCCTTCCACCTAAAGGTCTGATTCCCAAGGTAGTGGAGCAATGTCAAGAGATGCAGTCTCATGGTAACCGGTGACCAACGATTGGTTGATACGTCATTTGTTCCCTTATGACCCTGCAACCGACCCACGTGCACCATTGGTTCGGAATCAGGGTTTTCCAACTCCCCTAGGTGGACTCTCCGTATCCACAAACCCGGTTAAAGCGCCAGACATACGCTTTTCATCCTCTCAATTTCGTAAACAACACCCATGGTGCGAGAAGGCAGTGAGTAGGACTTCCCTGGCAGGCAAATTATATATATATATATATATTAGTGACTTACAGATTATTGATAGATAGTTTCATATTCCTATTAAAACGTGGTGATCGAGGTAAAAGATGACTACTGCTACCAGTGTTAGTAGTAGTAGTTGAAGTAGATAAATTTTGTTTATTTTCAGTCTATAAAGAAGATTAAATAAAAAAGAAATCATCACATAGTTCCATAATGGAAAATAATTGACTTTAAATAAGGAAAAATATAAAAATTAAATAGAAGTTAGCACTGAATTTATGAGATCAACACAAAATCGAAAATCAAGTATTGATGATGTGAAATAACTATTTTGGCGTTGATCTCTTATATCTATTATTTTCTTCGATCATTTTAGCATAGGGGATGAAAAGGATTCCAGAAACCTTCTATAAGGTGATTGGGACAAGTTTTATATATAACTAACTACCTTCTGCTTCGATGCATGATGTATCGGCCTGCTTGAATATCTGGGTCACCTATTCCTACCATCTATATATATTTCAACAAGTTATCTACTTTTGTTTGTTTTAATACATCATTATGGTTATTAATTGCATAACCTATTCAAGTGCGTTTCTGAAAAGTGTACAACCTTTCTTTGTACACGTTACAAAAGGCCCAATCAGAAATATCATAGTTCCTGGCAATATGAAACGAAAAGAATGTACATTATTTAGATGTCGATTGATTGAACTCCTAACTGGCGACCACTCAATATTTATCGTCAGGATCGACCAAGAAGTAAAAAATGGAAACTTGTTGAAATATTGAAAATATAATATTGAATAAAGCTAATAATAATAATAATCCTAGTGTGGGTGTAGTAGTAGGTAGGCAAAAAACTAGATTGCCCAAATCACGACACACAATCAGTTCATGAAGTCGTCGACTGGTGGTCTCAGCCATTTTAATAAGGGAGGGCTAATTAGTTGGGGTCCGCGCGATTATTGTAACCAATGGTTGGAAATGATGGCTGATATATCCCAGAGCTAATCACATTGCCCCAAATGTATTTAATCTTGAGTCTTAAGACTATTTTATATCTTTTCTCCAGTGAATTCATTCCTTTTTTACAAAGTGTTTTATTTATATTCACTTGGTATTGTTTTGTTTGTATCTTCCCATTTAGGTTTAAGACTGCAATTGATCAGTCTATCAGGACTCAGTACCAAGTGAATTTATTAAATTCACCCCATTACCCAAACGAGTGGCTGTCAGGACTCAGTGGCTGAGTGGATAACGCGATAACGTTTAAAGCGAATGGTACTCAGTTCGAGTCCCAAAGTGAACAACAACTCTGAGGTGGAGGTACATCCAGCTGACGAGTCCCAAATAGGACGGAATGCACGTCTTGAATTCCACTGCTAGCCAATATCCATCTTTGCTTATAAAAACGTTTTATTTATGTTTAGCGTTTACCACTATCACTGACACTGTTACTATCCCTACTACTCTAGCATTTATCTTGTGAATCTTATTTCAAAATGTTAATGTTGTGTAAAAGCATTGCTTGTTAAAGATAATCTGTAAGATGAGGTAAACATTTTAAAACTATTAACCCTTTATTATCCTTCAAATATATATATATATATATATATACTCAGATAATAATAATTGCTATTATGCAACATAGATGGAATTTTCAGTCACTGGAATTTATATGATGAAATAAACACAAAACGACTGAACAAAATATGGGAATTTTTAAGTAGTCGTCGGTTACTGAAAACGTTATTCCAACATCGGTCAACTATAGGTTCCAACCATAACGGTTTACAGATTCATAATGCCAACACTGGACAATACTGGGATAACTCTCAGATTTCTATTGTCAGGAGTCAAGCTTTATGAAACTGAAACATTAAAAGCTACTCGCAGAACAACTGTTCTATGAGCACTGAGATCAATTTCTTATTTAAATACTTCAAGAAATGTTGTTTTAAGATGTGAACAATCAGGAAGTGAAGATCATTCAAATAATTCTAATATAACTCGAGATCAACTTATTAACAAGTTACAAATGAGTACAGTTCTAAACTAAAATACATATATTTAGCCTTCAGATTGCTTTATTCACTCTGTTAGCGGGACATAGACTGGATTAAAGCATGCTCAATGCACGATTGCTTTGCTGCACGCTGATAGGCTAATTCTTATCCAATCAGCACTAGTCGATAGTTGGAGAATACTATAGAATCTTCTCATGTAAAAGCTATAAATATACTAACGTTTTCCCTATTGTGCTTCTTACTTCCATCTAACCTTGTTATTTGGAAATATAATTTCTTTCCTGTTCAACCGCGTTCTGATTTGGGGACTTGTCGAGTGATTTGGTGTCCAAGAATACTAAGCACTAGGAATAGCTGGATCATACCGTAAGAAAGAGATTATAACACACTCTGAATAACCATTTAGCATAGGTTGTAAGGAGTTGATGAACAAACCGAAATGAAAGAGGTATATCGTTAATTAATCATAAACAAAAGAGAAAAAAACTTACTTTATCAATAGTCGGTGTTGTATCATTATCACAGAATAACAGTCCGAATCCTTTATGAAAATAAATAAATGAATATATATAGCCAATTTGATGAGTTTCATATATAATAAACTCAAGTATATACAGTAATACATAAGTAAATGGAGAGCTTAGGGAAACATTTTTTTTCTCTCTTTAAAAACAGTGAAGTAATGATTACTGGTTTCTTCAAACATGGTTTCAAATTACAGGAGGAAGATCTTTAGTGAGTAAATGCTGTTTTTAAAACTATACAACTCATTTCATCAATAAATACTCTAAAATCTTGTATTATAGATGGATGCTATGTCTTTGAAACCCATAAACATACATGATACACACATCAGTATTTATAGAATCTCAAGTGAACAGTGTGTAAAATAATCACGTCTTACTATTTGTCTATTTGAATATTCAAAAACAACTAACTTAGATATTGGTAGTGTAAGTATGGAATTAAGTTCAACTGAAGAACAAAATCTTCAGGATTGAATTTCAGTAGACAGATGTTGAAAGATATTCAGCTGAATGAGATTGTAAGAAATAGAAAGCATAAAGATAATCCATAAAGGTGCCTATTTGAAGTTTCTATATTTTAGTTTTCAAATGAAATAAAGAATTTACTCTATTGAAAATCCCTTAGTTTCTTCTAAAAACAATGCCTTATTGAGTGTTATAATATATTAAGCAATTGTGCAATGATGTAGGGCTCTAACACCATTTTTAAACAGTCGACATCTTCAAATCCAATGTAAACCAACTGAGATTTGAATAAACGCATGAGATGACTAGTAATCATATTATATAAGTTTAACCTAAACCCTAACACATGAAACAAGTAACAACGATCCCATACATTGAAAATAATATTAACTCCGTATGGAGCCCCTCTGGGGCTACAGCCGATCCCAGGCCCGGATAAGAAGGGTTGGGCATGGGGTTAGCGAACCTATCCCGTAGAAAACTAAAACGATAACCAGAAAAAACAATTCAAACCACTTGAACTCTGCCCTGCGAGTAAGAAAGTCTTCATTTAGAAGAGTTATCACACCACATGGTGAAACCCGAGTTCCTTCGGAAGTCACGAGGCTGACGCCGCTGCTGACAACCACAGCAACCATTAATTTAGGTACATGGAATACTCGTACAATTTGGGAGAACGGGGGAGTCTTCCAAATTGCTGCAGAAATGAAGAAATACAACATGGAGGTGCTTGGAATTAAAGAAACACATTGGACGCAGGTTGGACAACAACGACTAGATTCAGGGAAGCTTCTGTTATACTCCCGTCGTGAAGAACAAAGTGCTTCATATACACAAAGGAGTTGCATTCATGCTATCCAAACAAGCAAAAAATGCACTTATAGGATGGGAATCACATGGACCAAGGATCATCAAACCTCCTTCAAAATAAAGAAATAGGAAATTTCAGTTCACCAATAGTCGTTAAGTTCTAAAAGAGTCATTTCAGTTACACCTAGTACGGTAAATAGCATTTATTTTTACAAACTGCTTTAATTAGTCAAATAGAGAAAATAAAGGAGTATATTCTTTGATGAACAACTTTTAATGAATTTATTCATATTGAATTTGGAAGAATAAATGCTTATACGCACACTACAGTGTAATCACGATTCATGGAACTAAATGTTCTATGGAAAAAGTGGGTCGATCAATGTGATTGGTCACTGAGTTTTAGAAAAAAAATCAGGTATTCAGCTTAATTATTATTTTAATATGTGGTTTCCTTACCTCTTAATGACTTCTACTCTGGACTCATTGAGAGTGACTGTATGTAACGTTGTGGAATATGGTATTGTTTGGAGTTACTCTGGTTCTATAGTTTTTATCGCGAACCAGGTATGTGATATAAAGTGTTTCGATTTGTATATAGCGGATAATTTGCGTAATCAAGCTAACGGTGTTATAAACTCTGTCATCCAGACAAATTTCATTATTGTATAGAAATTTTAAAGTAGTATACCGAAGAACGAAAAATACTTAAAACTATAAAACACCAATATCAGCGAAGGGATTTCTTTTCAACGAATTTATTATCAAGCTGTACAATCGAATATATATGAAAGTTTTTATAAAAGTAATAATTCCGTAAGGAAATGTGAACACAGTAAAAAGGGTTATAATACTAGATTACGTAATATGAATAATAATAATAACAATAGATTTAGTGAATATAATAAGATGATTAAAATGTTTTTTGTTATAATAATTAAAGGTGATAGAGGTGTAAAATATAAATAAATATAGTGATATGATGAGTATTTATGAATAAAATAATGAGAATATAAGACATAAGTAAAGGGGAGAATGCAGTATGTCGGATTCACCATACCACAGAATCGCCAAATGGCTAGCGGAAATATTGGAACCGGTTAGAAGGCAAGTATTTAAATTTCCTATTCATGATACTTTTCAATTTATTGATCGTATTAAGGAGGTTAACACTTCCGGAAAACACATGTTATCGCTTGACATTAATTCTTTGTTCACTAGCGTACCTTTAACCGAAACGATATGCTATATATGTGAGTATATTGATTCTAACAACATAGATCTAGGTTTGCCGGCTGAACACTTGAAAGAACTATTGTTACGCTGTACTTTTAATGTCCAGTTTAGTTTCAATAATGAAATATATAGACAGAGGGATGGGATCGCAATGGGTTCTCCATTGGGTCCGATTTTAGCAGATTGTTTCATGGCAAAACTAGAAAACGACCAATTAAGCTCAATGATCAATCAATTTCACCTATACGTCAGATATATGGACGACACGTTTATCGTTTGTGACAATAATATTGATTTATGGGATATTTTACACACCTTTAACTCATGCCACCCTTCTATAGACTTCACGTTAGAAAGGGAACGGGACCAATCAATTCCTTTTCTCGATGTACGTCTGATGAGAAGGAGTAATGGTTCTTTAAAAAGATCCATCTTTAGAAAACAAACATGGAATGGACAGCTAACCAACTTCTATAGCTGGGTTCCGTTAAGTAGAAAGAGAAACCTCATCCACTCTTTATGTTATCGAATACATCGGATATGCAGTAAGGAATGCATTAACGAAGAACTCGAATTCCTCAAGAAAACCCTGACGGAAAATGGTTACCCAGAACGGTTCATAGAAAAGAATATGAATAGAAGTAGTTGTGACAAGAAACCTAGTTGTTCCGTTACGAAGAAAAACCTTTATATAAGTCTGGAATTTAAAGGTGATCGAACATCAGAGGTAATCAAAAATCGTCTAACAACAACTATTAGAAGGACATTTAATGCGGCTTAATTGCGAATAACCTTCACGAGTAGGAACTTATTTTCTGTGTCCATAAAAGACAAGCTCCCGCGCCTGGTCGCCTCTATGTGCATCTACCAGTTCACCTGCTCTTGTGGAGCAAGGTACATTGGCTGTAGCCAGCGCTCGCTTCCAACTCGGATACGGGAACATATTCCAGCTTGGTTCTATAAGGGGGAAAGGAAATCAGTTAGGAGTTCTATACTTGAACACCTAATCGACTATAACCATTCTACAAATCCACACATTGACTTTAAGGTTGTTTATATGATTCGTTCAAATCTACCCAGATTTCTTCTCATCCAACTTTTAAAAATAACCGAAGCTCTTACCATCCAGGAGCTTAACCGAGAACTATGCGTACAAACGAAGTACGTTTTATCGTTATCGTTACCTTGACCTTTATTATTTTGATTATTCTATTATTATTATTACTGCATTCTCCCCTTTACTTATGTCTTATATTCTCATTGTTTTATTCGTGAATACTCACCATATCAGTTTTACACCTCTATGACCTTTAATTATTATGATAAAAACCTTTTAATCATCTTATTATACTCACTAAATCTATTGTTACTGTTATTCATATTACGTAATCTAATATTATAACCCCCCTTTTTTATTAACTGTGTTCACGTTTCCTTACTGAATTAGTACTTTTACAAAAAAAGAAGATTCATATATATACGTGTTAAGGATGCAGAGGAATATGCCAATAATTATCTTGTTAAGTCTAAGGGTGTCCTTGGACTTTAAATGTACATTCCCTATTGGTCAGTATTTATTTCACTTGCTAAATATTGTACAAATGTTGTTTTCTATTTTATGGTACGATGTGGTTTGGTTGGTATATAAATAGAGTATGTCTGAAATATAATGATTTATAACTCAGAGGCTGAGACTTGTGTTCTGGACTTAACTGGCTGGGATAGACAGCGAGGCAGGGCCAATCGGGACTCTAGGCTGTTCGTACGTGTTTTATGTATCACTGTAATCGATCGATAAATACGCTGCTCTCTAATCTTTCAGTAAAGGACACAACAATTGGCACGGGGTAAAAAGCGATCCAAGTTTAAAGTCACAACAATACGATTGTACAGCTTACTAATAAATTCGTTGAAAAGAAATCCCTTCGCTGAAATTCGTGTTTTAATTATGTTTAAATGGGAACTATCTGTCAATTAAAACTAAAAGTCATATCAAGAAACTGGTACGGCTGAGAGTGGAGAGAAGTCAACTCTCCCTCTCGAAATGCTCTCACATGGCCACGTACATACAACCATTGTCAGGGAAGTCCTACTCACTCCCTTCTAGCAGCATTACTGTTGTTTACGAAATCGACAACACGAAAAGCGAATGTCCGGTGCTTTAACCAGGTTGGTGGACATGGAGAGTCCACCTAGGGGAGTTGGAAAACCCTGAGTTTAAACCAATGGTGTACATGGGCTGGCTCCAGGACCCCAAGGGAACAAATGGAGTATGGACTTGTTATTGGTCACCGGATACCATGGGACTGTATCTCCTGACGTTGCTCCAATGCCTTGTGGATCAGACCTTTAGATCGAAGGCTTATGGTGTGACTCCCTAAGTAAACCACCTGCTTCTGTTTGGGCACCCGGGCAGTATCCTAACCGTTACACAAATCGAATGATTTGTGTCACGCATATCTATTCGGTGCCATCTTGTACCAATGTTCATATGTTTAAATAAATAAATAATCGTGTCACACAGAATTTTAGTAATGATTCATAAGTAATTTGATGGAGTAAAGAATTTAAACCAATCAACGCTTACCTCCCCAACTGCCTAGTTTTCGATGAGTTGGTCGTTTTCGAGGCCGTTGAATTGAATTCACCACAGAATGGTTTGATGTTAAACAATGAATATTTGATGGTATTGAAATATCTTCTTGAGAATATGTTTGTTTAACACGAGGTGGTGGAGGTATAATTGGTGGTTCAAGTAAATCGTATAATGATGAATTGGATTTGATTTGTTTTTCAAGTTGATTCACTGTTGAATTAGATGGATTACCTTTGTTAGTATGCCTTGTTCCCGTTGTTTTGTTATTTTTAGTTTTACAGGATAATGATAATGTGGTAGTTTTAATGGAAGACAATGTAGTAGTAGTTGTTGTTATTGTATCACAATTGGAAGTAATGTTTGTTGTACAATTATAAATTGGCACAGGTTTTAATATATTATCATTATTACTTAGAAATGAATAATTCGGTGGGACAGTATTTTGACATGATAGATCTGGTGGAGATGATGTAGGTGGAGGTTCTAATTGAATAGATAATTTATAATTTGCATCTTCAATAAATCGTTGAAGTTCTTCTATGTAACGTTGTGCTTCTAAATAACTGGCTATGGATTCATTTCGAACAAAAGCTGATGAAATTGAAATATAATATAAAAAAGAAAGGAAGATAGTATTTTTTAAAAAAAAAGATAATTTAATGTGAAGCTGACATAAAATTAACCGGTACCTTCTTGAACGGATTTTAAAAATTTCATCTGAGCAGTTCTCCTCATATGGACCGTAATTTGCCGACACTAGAACTGTGTGAAAGAAGCAGATAGGTAGTCTTTTTATGAGATAACATCTTGGTATGGAAAAGAACTATGTAGGACTAAGATCATAACTCCCCTAGTTGAGGTTTTGGAGAGCACACAACTCAGTGTCTTAACTGGTTAACAAACATGGGTCAGAACAGATGTTAATGATGACCATGTTGCAGCTTTTTATCATATTTCTCGTAAAACTAAGATGAATTCTTTAACATTTTCAATCGCAATGTCTCTTTTAATACGTATGACCAACAACCGCCTACCTCGATGGGAGATGTTGTCTGGTGTAGGAGTAAGTTGGAAGAAGGTTAGTAGCAGCCAAACTAAAACGTGGTATCAGTCCGTGAAGTCACTGACAATTGGACTGACCCACGATAATAGCTATAAACAATCTGGGTAGAGTCTGCGTGATTATTGTAACCAATAATTAGAAACGTTAAGTGTAACGTCTCAAAATTGGTGTATTCATTCTGTCTTCCCTTAAATCTGAAACTTCTGAATTCCTCATTATTTTTTTGTATTTATTACACCAATATATATTTTCTTGAATTGAACCTTCGATGTCTATTCTTTTCTATTACCACTAATACAGTGACTAACTTTACTATCCTGATATTTGTCCTCACAATTTCATTTCTCTGTTCTAATGGGGTATGGAGACTTGACCCGATGGATAAACGTATCAGATTCTACTTTGCGACTAGATGATTACTGATCATTCATTCATTCATTGACATTTTCCTTACACTTACTTACGCCCGTTACTCCTCGTGAAGGAGCATAGGCCGCTCACCAGCATTCTCCATCCAACTCTGTCCAGGGCAATCCTTTCCAGTTGTTATTCATACTTTTCATATCTACTTCTATTTCCCGACGTAATGTGTTCTTTGACCTTCCTCTTTCCCGCCTCCCTTCAGGCTTGCCTTGTGATGCAGTGTGACGATTTGCGTAATGTATGTCCTATCCATTTCCATCGTCTTTTATTAATTTCCTCTTCAGCTGAAAGCTGGTTTGTTCTCCCACCTTAATAATCCCGTTTTAATTTTTAGCTGATATTTTATGTATCAATAATGTTAATCTATTAAAACGTCCGAAAACTAATTTTATAAACTTTGTATCAACTAGTTTCTTTTCCTGCCTCCCAAGTTGTAGTGATTACATGTATAAAGTAATTGCGTCCATTCGTCCAATAAGATAATCATGGGTCCGTCATCAAGATCATCATTCAGTCCTAATATAAACACAACTAAAAACCAATCACGATCTTAAAATAATGCTACCCTGAGAGGTTACATCCTTTTATTTGTATTTTTCTTTCTATCCCCTATCGTGTTAAATGCTATTCACATTATGAGTAAATGAATAGACAGTCGATGAAATGAACAGAATATAGAATGATTAATACAATAAGTATTTTTTAGGGTTACATTGTAGAGCATACATTTGCAAAATATTTCAGAATAACTTGATGAAGAGAAAAAAACTGGACATTAGTAAAAACGGTAATATTCAAAAAGGATGATTACGAATTTATGGTGAGACTATCATGTATGAATGATCTTTGAGCGACGCTAGATTGACTTTGAGAGTGTCCCCATTATTAACCAAGACCAAATGAGGATTATAAACCTGTATGATGAATTAGAATTATCATTTACAGTTGATATGGTTAAGGTTAGAAATTAGATTCTTTTTTTTTGGGGGGGGTTAATCATAAACTGACGTCAACTATACTACCAAAACTCTATTCACCTAAATGAATAAATGAATTTCGCGCCAAAATCCGAGACCTGTTCTCTTATATCTGATTGATTCGTCCATAAATTATAGTATCGCCGTATCGTTTAGTTAGAAAGTTAGTCAAGATTATATTTAATTTACAGAATGATTTTTAAGATTTTAATAAGAAGTCATAACTAGGTGAAGTTCACAGACAAGTCATGAATTATTTATCGATGGAAATCGAATGAATTATTATGCCAAAAACCATTGAATTGTATTTCAACACACTTATATAAAGATAGATATTTTATTATGAAACGTGAAAATCACTACACTAGTTTGATCCCTAACCGGATGTTTATAGACGAGTATTACTTAGGGGTCAAATACTAAGATGAAATAGTTGGTCAAGAAACTTCCAATAATCATACAAGTGATGTCGATCCTGAACAAAATTTATTTAAGGATTATGTTAAACTATGATTTATGATTCCTGCAAAACATAAATGTGGTAAACAAACCTAAATGTTTTCGACATGATGGAGATTTGTAGCTCGGGTGGATGATTTTGATAGAGTTTTGTTGTTTGAGCTGGATGGTTTGGTCGTGGATCTTTCATCGTTCTTCTGAACGACATCATTAGCACAAAATTCAGGTAGAAATGAAGTGTTCGAATTTCCCCACATGTAGGATATGTATTTCCCAAATATCAAACCAATGAGAGATACAACGAAAACAAAGAAGTAAGCTTATCAAAATGGGTTTTGTGGAGAGTTTTAGAAATTTCACAGGTTGAAATCATGAGTCGATTGAAGCTAGACCACCATGGAAAACCTGGAAGCACTGGACGGCCGTTTCGTCCTAGTATGGAACTCCTCAGCAGCGCGCATCCACGATCCCGCACCACGCGGGGTTCGAACCCAGGACCTATTGGCTTCGCGCACTGCTGAGGTGTCCCATACTAGGACGAAACGGCCGTCCAGTGCTTCCAGGTTTTCCATGGTGGTCTAGCTTCAATCGACTCATGATTTCAACCTGTGAAAGAAGTAAACAATGACGAGTTTAAACTCGACAAGAACCAATCAACATAGAGGTCTACAGGACAAGCTGTGAACCATACGTGGAGAAATTCGAACACTTCACTTCTATCTGACGTTTGTGCTGATGATGTCGTTCAGAATAACGATGAAAGCTCTATGACCAAACCATTCAGCTCTATTTTTACAATACTATAAATGTTGTTGGTTTTTCTTTGTTTGCCTTCCAACGAGCTGAGTTTCTTGCTCGCTGGATTAATTTGTGATGTAGCACAATCTGAGGTCACTATACCACATTGTATCTTATAACTCAAGTTGTTCAAGATTAACTCACAGTGATAGGTTTGGGTTTGATCACAAGTGAAGGTAGTTTTTTTCCAGCTTACTTTTAACTATTTATTTTTATTTATTTAAACGCATAAACATTGATACAAGATGGCACCGAATAGATATGAGCCACACAAATCATTCGATTGATGTGAGTGCTATGGTACTACCCAGGTGCCCAGATTGAAGCACTTCGCTTTCTTAGGGGGTCACACCCTGAGCCATTGACCTAAAGGTCTGACCCACAAGGCAATGGAGCAATGTCAGGAGTAGTCCCATGGAATCCATGTCCACCAACCCGTTTAAGGCGACGGAAATTCGCTACTCGTCCTAACAATTTCGTAAACAATATCCCCTGATATGAGAAGGTAGTGAATAGGATTTCTTTGGCAGTGGTTGTATGCACGTGGCCATTCGAGAGCATTTCAAGAGGGAGACCTGACTCTCTACACTCGACCGTACCAGGGTATTTGATCATAGGAACATAATAAAAATCGTTCTTGCTTTGTTTCAAAACCGAATAGTTTAAGGGATAACGATATTAATACTACTACTATTACTACTCATATTAAAATTATATATAAATTCAAATACATTTCATCACTTACGATAGTTGGATTGTTGAAAATTCGCAATAATCCGCAAGATATTATTAATTCGATCTTGTTTACCTTGATTAGTCCATGTACTATTTTCACGACGACTATACGATGATGATGCAGCCACGTCAATAAAAGTTAAATCAGAAAGATAAACACCTTTAAACATGAAGAGCAAAAAAAGAAGAGTAGAAATGAACAAGTAGCTTAATAGTCAGGGAGTACAATTTAACCATTAAGCATAAGGTTTAAACTCAACTGCTTCCGTATAGACACATACAGGTAGTAACCTTAGTCGACATACTTAAAATGCAGTTGATACTTAAGTATTTAATGAATGAGTTAACCTAAACTTATAATGATAAGTTATTATTGGAAGATAGAAAAATTGAAACAAATATTTATCCGAATTACCTTTTGATAAACAGAAACGAGATTCCAGTTACGTATGCATCATAATGGTAGAGAAAAAAATGTAACTGCAGAATAAATTCTAATCAACCGTTGTTAGACAGATAATCCCCGTTTACACTCTCTATCATCACTAAATCATATGACCCCACATGTGAAATAACATTTAATTCAAGTGAAAAGTAAATTAGGTATTATTAAGTGATGATTAGTTTCTTATAATTATTTTATTTAAAAACATAAACATTGGTACAAGGAGGCACCCAATAGATATACACTACATAAATCATTCGATTTGTGTAAGGGCTAGGATACTGTCCTGGTGCAAAAACCGGAGCAAGTGGTTCTCTTGGGCAGCGACACTTGGAGCCTTTGATCTAAAAGTCTGATCCACAAAGCAGTAGAGCAATGTCAAGAGATGCAGTTCCGTGGTAGTCGGTGACCAATGATTGGTTCATTCGCCATTTGTTCCTTCAACATACTGAAGCCAACCCATGTGCACCATTGGTTTAGAATCAAGGTTTTCTGACTCCCCTAGGTGGATTCTCCGTGTCCACCAGCTCGTTTAAAGCAACGGAAATTCGCTTTCGGTCCTCTCAATTTCGTAAACAACATCCCCTAGTGTGAGAAAACAGTGAGTAGGACTTCCCTGGCAGTGGTTGTATCTACGTGGCCACTCCCCACTCTCAGCCATATCAGGGCAGATTAGTTTCTGACCACTTTAGAACAACAATTATTTAACAATTAAACTGTGAAATATTAAATCATAAAAATCTTGAAAGACATAGAAAGAAGCATTACATCTATTAAGTTTTTTAACGTTCTCTGCCATTATTCTTTTCTCGTCAACTCTTTTTTGTGTACTGTTTTATACTACTTATTAGTATTCAGTAAATAGTTGTGTTCCTAGCAATTTGTGCACGAATGTCGTGTAATATTTCAAAATATTTACATACGCTAATAACCCACGTAGCAGTCATTCTAAGATTTGTATGGTCAAATATTCTTTGTTTAAACGCAACGGTTCACATATATGTTTGCTATTGGTTCAGTTTTTGCTTGTTGATAAACTGTTATCAAGATTACATATAGCTATCAGCTGTCATAATTATTCTTTATGTTATTACTATTGCAGGAATCCATTTTTCTTTCAGACTTACAGATGCACTAAGCGCCACAGATACTTTATGAGTTAAAGTTTGTAACTAATCTATATCTATCGTTCAATCAAGAACGGGTGTTTAGATAAATCGCCGTTTTGTGAGCTTTGGTTTCGTGTATACCTCAATCGCGTAATGAGACGTTTCGATAGATTTGATACCGCTCTTTAGTAGATGATATAATAGTCAGTATATTCACACTTAAACCCACATTGAACCGTTAGGGGAAGTAGTGAATCCTTCTATTATGTAACATAATCTTAGTAAATCTAATATATAACTTAATGATCATTTATATGTTATATCTAACTAGGTTTTTATAGAGTACTAATGATAAAATTTATGTCCATAATATAAGTTGATTATGTAATTCAACAGTGATTAGTTTTACAGTTGAAACCGATAAACAACTAAGAAGAAGTATCATTCATTTTCAGTATTGGGGTTGTGGAGATTATTAAGTTTTTGATTGAGATTATGAACTGGTTGATGTTAGACCATCATTGAAAACCTGAAAGCATTGAATGGGCTGTTTCATCCTATTGTGGGACTCCTCAGTTGACGATTCATGATCTTAATCAAAAACCATTCATTTTATTCGACCAAAAAAATCAATGAAAGTATCCTTATAAGGAAAAAAGTGCTTGTCACAACTTATCTGACTATCCTATTTATAAGAAACGAGAAAAAACAGTTAAGTCATTGAAATGAACAGGGTTTATATACACACCCATACATATATGAGTGCAAAAGAGAGAGAGTTTATATTCAATCACTAAAAAATACTCTACAGTACTATGTATTATATATGTTTCTGAAAGAAACAACTACATAAAAATACATACATTAATGACTGGAATTCTGAACTACTAACACTACTACTACTGTTACTTCACAGTTTACAGTGAGAAAAAAAATCTTTACTACAATCACCCCCCCCCCAGAACACACATAGTAACAACAACAACACGTATAAACGATTAGTTCAAATCTGAACTTATGAATAGTAAAAAATACATATGGATTACGTAATGATGATAACAGTTTGAAAAAAAAAACTTTCTTTCTCATCAAAGTGTATGACGTAATATCAACTTAGATAATAATTTATCAATAAGAAATTTATTAATAAGAACAATTTACAGAGTTAAACTCAAGACATTTGAAATGTGATCTAAAAATGATAATCATATCTTTTAATGAATGATTTATTGAAAACTATACAACCAACACCATGGTCAGAATTTTCAATACAAATGTCAAGATAGTTCTACTGTATGGGGTGAAAATCAAGAGAACTACGAAAGCCATTATCCAAAAAATACAGGTGTTTCTTAACAGTTGTCTACGCAAAATACTTCGGATCTGTTGGCCAGACAATATCAACAACAACCTACCGTGGGAGAGAACAAACCAGATTCCAGTGGAGGAAGAAACTGGGGAGTGCTGGAGACGTTTAGGACACACATCGCGGAAAGTACCCAACTGTGTCACAAGGCAAGTGCCCACCTTGAGACCTTCAAGACCAAAGAACACATTACGCCGAGAAATGGAGACAGACAAACATGAGAAGAATGAAGAAAAGTCGGATAGAAGTAGAAAGGAAGTCCCAGGACAGAGTGCGTTGGAGAATGCTAGTCAACGACTTATGCTCCATTGGGAGTAACAGGCATCGAAGTCGAGAATAAAATAATAGTGACTACTGACAATGAGACTTAGTAGTTGGAAGTAGTATGTTTTGACAACCATTGCCACTACTCGATCAATTAATGAATTATAGTGAACAAAAAATGACAATTCAATTTAACAAATAGGCTCCAAACGAATGAAATTCGGTCAAATAATTTTAAATAAGAAATAATTTAATATGGTCATTTTTTGGAGTTTTGTTCTCTGAGCCGGATGGTTTGGTCATGGAGCTTTCATCGTTATTCTGAACGAAATTATCAGAACAAACTTCAGGTAGAAGTGAAGTGTTCGAATTTCTCCACATGTAGTTCACAGCTTGTCCTTTACATTTCGATTTTGATTGGTTATCGTTGACCTTAAACCTGTCATTGTTCATTTCTTTGTTTTGGCTGTATCTCCAATTGGTTTGATTTTTGTTCCTGTTTGTGCACAAACAAAACAAAAATCCACCAAAATCATCCACCTGGGCTACAAATATTCTCCACCATATGAATATAGTCATTTATATAGCAATTTTGAATAGCCAAACTTCATCTTTTTGCACAGAATTCTCAAGCATGATATTAAAGGTGTAAATAAAAATAATTTCTAGATGGATACTATTTAAAGATATATTGTAAGCCCTTAACCGTTCCGATGGTTTTTAATAATAGGCTGAATTACATTAGGTAACTATTGAAAACCAGGAAGTACTGGGTAGCTGTTTCAACTTAGTATCGGAACTCCCCAGCAATGAAGGTTCATGACTTCATCAGAGATTGAACGCAGCACCTACAGTCTTACTAGGAAGAGCCTAACCTTCAGAATATCGAGGCGATGATATATGCAGTAGTAGTAGAATAGCAACTACAATCTTTGTTTTGCTTTCCACTTTGAATCGATATTATTCCCCATATTTAATAAGAATGGAATTTAGAAATGGTATTTAATCCTATTTCAACATTGCGAACTAATTTTAGGTATTACTAATGCAACACATATTCAATGCTTACTCACTGAAACACAATTGGAGCATAACATACATATTTAAGCCCTCAAATGAGGCCGAGGGTGGGGAGAGTCAGCTCGCCCTCTCCTAATGCTCTCACACATGGCCACGCGTATACAACCAACTACTGTCAGGGAAGTTCTACTCATTGTCTACTGTTAGCTCTGATGCGGTATGGCAACCTGGACCGATGCACATATGTGCCTGGTCCTACGTTGTAGCTGACTGACTACTGTTAGCCGGGGTGTTGTTTACGAAATTGAGAAGACTAAAAGCGAACTTCCGGAGCTTTAACCAGGTTGGTGGATATGGAGAATCCACCTAGGGGATTTGGAAAACCCTGATTCCAAACCAATGGTGCACATAGGCTAATATATTCAACTATTCAGATGAATCAGTAGGTCATATAGTAGACAACATTAATCAGTATCGACCAGCTGGAGGCTAGCGACACATCATGCATGTAAAAAAAATCATACCATCTAATAGTGTTTCACAAATTTATCAACCAAATCAATATATCTACTTAGAACTTAACACATAACACCGTTATTACTTCATTAGTAGTACAGATTCATTATGATATGTAATATTAAACATAAACGTGAGAAATACTAATACAAGTCAAAGCTAAGAAGGATTAAACAAAATATAGTATTAATGATAAGAAAGAAACTAATAAGATTTCAATAAGTCCATGAAAGTAGATCATGATAATTGATTAAAAGAAAAAATAACTAGTTTTTAAAATTTTTTTTATCTCTTCTTCAATCTATTCAAAACGATGAACTTCATATGTGTTATTCCACGGTTACCATCTATTGAAAAGAAGAGCTTAAAATCTACAATTTACAAAGTAATGAATTATGTATCTAATTTAAAATGAAAATGTTTGTGATTATTATTTAATCGTTAGGCTATTAAATAGTTGAATTAATGAGTCAATTAAAGCTAGATTACCATGGAAACCTTGAACAGCTGTTTCATTTTAGTATGAGGCTTTTCAGCCGTGAGCATCTACGACTCCGAACCGCGAATGCTTAACCTCTAGACCATTCAGCTATTGTTCGACAAGCTAACAATGAACATTTCATTAAGGAGAGATATGAACTTAGAGGTACACTTCCTGATGAGAAAACAATACGTGAAAAGTGAGAAGAAAGAAACATTGTTAAAAGTATGTCTTAAAATAAGAAGGATTGGTTCAGAGAAGAGTTCTCTTTTCGAGGAATTCATTTTCAATGTTGTACAATCCGAAATATGTACACGTATTTTTCAGGATGATAATAATTACAATAATAGTGATAATAAATTTCTGTCAAACATGTGGTGTGTTCGAGGAGATTACAAGTTCCACTAATCTGCGAACGGAACGAAGACTCAATGACACAATGACCAATAAGTTAACCATTCCGATGCGTCCCAGCCTGGCTAAATAGAGAGAGAATTCCAGGCTCAAAAGTGTGAAATGTATTCCACAAGCAACCAGAAGCGCGAGCAACAACAACAATAAGCACAACTCAAGTGTATATATACAGTGTAAAAATGTCCTTGGGGAACGTTACAAAATAGCATATTAAAAGAGACAACGAACCAATAACATTTTAGGTCCTCTCAAACGGGAAATACGACATGAAAATGAAAGTGGGTGATTTTAAAATAGAATTACATAAATAAGGCATTTACCGAGTGAGTTTTGGGGATTTAACATCCCCAACAACATGGTAACAGTGAGGTAGAGTAAAACAAAAGGTAGTAAAAATCATTTTCCGAATAATGGTGTACGGTGGCGCAACTTCGTGGATTGGTTGAAGTTAGACATTAACACCGTTGGATGCCGACTCAGTGGTCTAATGGTTAAGTGCCCGCGCGCGAAGCCAGTAGGTCCTGGGTTCGAGCCCCGCGTGGTGCGGGATCATGGATGCGCACTGCTGAGGAGTCCCATACCAGGACGAAACGGCCGTCCAGTGCTTCCGGGTTTTCAATGGTGGTCTAGCTTCAACTGACTCATGATTTAAAAACATGTGAAATAGTTTTACTGTTAATCAGTTATCATCAACTTCTAAATAATGAATAATGGATCCAAACAGAGAAACTATATAAGAGGATAAGATTATCAATCGAGTCAGCCAGACACGATATTTCAAAGGGCTCCTATTTCTGGCAGTATCCAAATAGACGACTGTGAACAGCTGAAAACAGTAACCACAACCACAATTACTAGTATATACAATTTACGTTCTAGGCATTGATGGATAAGTATACGTGATAGAATGTATATATAAATGACATATGAACGACAAAATAACAGACAGAACATAAAATATAGATCATTGTTGCAGTTACATACACATACGTCCAAATGGAGATACAAAGAAAAACAAATTACTACTGAGAAAATGTTACAGTTTTTATATAGGTAAGAAAAAATACTTAATAAACAACACTCTCACTGATTGTGAAATGGACGATTGAGATAATGATCATAAACCATTTGGATTTTTATCAGTATAGGGTTGTGGAGATTATTAAGTTATTGATTAAGATCTCCACAACCCTATACTGATAATTACTATGTGCTCACTAGTGACTAGCTTCGTGAGAAAATTCTCGGAGTTTTAGTGAGAAGCCGTGACCAGTGGAGCTAACCAGTGCCGGGGAGAGACTGGTGTCTACCTCAGTACAATGGAAGATGCTCGCGCAATTTCGTGGATTGGTTGAGGTTAGACATTAACACAGCTGGATGCCGGATCAGTAATCTAGTAGGTTAAGCGTTCGCGCACAAGACTGAAGGCCCTGGGTTCGAATCCTGCGACGTGGATCGTGGGTGCGCACTGCTGAGGAGTCCCATAATAGGACGAAACGGCCGTCCATTGCTTCCAGGTTTTCAACAGTGGTCTAACATCAATCGGTCCAAGATCTCAATTTTAACTAATAAGGTAGCAAAGTTTGAACATTCGTAACACAATGTGTTGCAGATTTGAGAAGCCAGCTTGAATCACATATACAGGACAGATCAAAGTTAAGTACATAAATCTATATTTGATAAATGAGGAATAATTCTTAACGATGTTCAGATTACTGTATACGCAAACCTGTGACAACATGAAAAATTGATTGATAGAATCTGACTATTACTATGCATTGGAGAAATATAACATAGGTTACTACTACTAATAGATTAATGTGGAAAACAGTCCAGCAAGTCATCATTTGTAACTGGAATAAATCAGTAATAAAAAATCTAGTTACTAACAATAAATGACTTTGATGGGAATCACAAGACGAGGATTAATGCCCTTAAAATTCTAGATATACTTTGTTGATAAGTGCGAAGTAGTATAAAATCCAGGTTTTTGACTTCGACAACCTAACAATTAGAATAAAGTGCATTATGTTACATCTTGACATGTTGTTAATTTCAGCCCACAGAAAAATACAATATGGATAACCATCTTCTTAATTACAGGTAATTACATTTATATTTGTATGTAAATTAAACACTGAATTATTTTGCTAGGAAGTGAAAGGTAACAGTAATAAATATAAATCCATCATTATGGCATCAAAGAACAATCTATTAAAGTAACTCTGGATTCAAATTTCCAATAAGAGGTTTGAGGTGTACACTAATGAGGAATATATAATTCAATGGTTCAGATCATGAGTCAATTGAAGCTAAACTACCATGGAAAACCTGGAAGCACTCGACGGCCGTTTCGTCCTAGCAGTGAGCATCCACGATCCCGCCTAGCAAGATTCATACCCAGGACATATCAGTCTTGCGCTCGAGCGTTTAACCACTAGATTACTGAGCCAGTATCTAACAGTGTTAATGTCTAACTTCACACAGTCGTCTAGTGGTTCCAGGTTTTCCATAATGGTCTAGCTTCCATTAACTCATGATCTTAACCATTGAAATCACTATAACATTCACAAAAACCCTTCATTAGTTTTAACTAAACACACTAATTAGTCTATTTGAATAGTGCAATGAGAAGATGAAGTTTATTAGAACTATGTGATAATAGATTAGTGCAATACATTTCGAATAATCTGATCACACATATACTTGTTGTTGAAACATTTACACATAAAAATAAAAGGTCAACAAGACTAAAAAATGGAGGACGAGAAGAAAAAAAGAGATAATAAATAAGATGATATGAAAAATAATGTAAAACCTCATCAATCTGGATGATAAGCTAATAAGACCAGGGTAGAGTTACGAGTGAGAACAAATTATTTTTGAACAAGTACATATGTGATCAGATTGTTCGCAATGTATTACGCTAATATATATCACATAGTTCTAATAATCTTATTATTACACTAATCAAATTTATCAAAATGGACTCATTGTTTTAAATTAGTCTAATACTGCCCCCGAGGGTGAGGAGATTTAGCTCTCCATCTCCTAATGCTCTCACACATGGCCACATGTACACAGCAAACTACTGCCAGGTAAGTCCTACTCATTACCTAATGTTAGCCAGGGTGTTGTTTACGAAATTGAGAAGAATAAAAGCGAACCTTCGGCGCTTTAACCGGATTGGTGGATATGGAGAATCCACCTAGGGAAGTTGGGAAACCCTAATCTCAAACCAATGGTCCACATGGGTTGGCTCCAGTATCCTGAGGGAACGAATGGCGTACGAACCAATTATTGGTCACCGGTTACCATGGGACTGCATCTCCAAATAGCTTGTGGATTAGACCTTTAGGTCGGAGGCTCCGGGTGTGACGACCTAAGAAAACCTCCTGCTTCGGTGGTCTAGGCACCCGGGCAGTATCATAGCTCACACACAAATCAAGTGACTTGTGTAGTGTATATATAATCGATACCGCCTTTTTACCAATACTTATGTTTTCGAAGTCTAATACTGATTAATGTTATCTATTATAAACACTTAACAACAATTAAAACTTACCTAAATATGGTATACATGGAAGACGTGAATTATCTACAGCTGAACGAAGATTAATAAAATTTTCTTCTTGAGAAAACAAATCTGACAATTTTCGAAATGTATGACGATCACGTGAAGATAAATTAGACCATGTAGCATTTAATCGATGAATACATTGCATATGTAAAGCAGATACAATAGCCATTCCTGATGAGAAATTATTTAAATCAACTAGTTTCTGTATAAAGTAATGGATAGACGTGTGTGTGTGTTTAAGTGACAGAAAATATAAATAGCCAATATAATTTTATTTATGACAATAATAACAAGATTAGTAATTTGAATAATTATGTAACAGAATTAGACTGAAGTGATTTTGTGAAGATTGATTTAATTTGTAGGGTGTTTTAGTCATAGACTAATCATAGACTCTTTAGTATTCACAAACACATCGGAGATCGAACATAGAACCTTCACGTCTGAAGGTGAACGCTTGACTAATGATATAATTCCAAATTTAACCAATTTAAAATACATTGTGATGATTATCCACTGTCGTTGACAAATGTACATTGATTTAATTTGCTATGACTACTTCAGTACAGTGAAATGCCATAATAAAACCATTAACATAATCAGTATTGGAGGAAAATATTCGAACCCAAAATACGAACTTGTTAGATGGGAATAATTTTTAGGATAATTAAAAAACATACGATTGAAGGCAAGACAAAGAGTGAATGCATCTGGGTCACTAAATGATTGTGAGCCATGCCAACTGCTAATTATGCCGATAGAATGGACCTTAACCAAATAATCTACATCTATATACATGGGTAAGACCAACAGTCAGTACCTTTATGAATTAATGCCATGACTTGATTTGGACATCTCTAACTTTCTTCCAGCCTACTCCTACACTAGACAACATCGCCTGTCCACGTGGATAGGTTTACGTTACACATGTCCCATCCACCTTAGATGATAAATATTTTGTCATCTCTACCTAATACAGTGAATCCACCCCAAGTATTGCTAATTTGGTGGTAAAAAGACATTTATGATCGAACACTAGTAACCTATGGATATAATCTCTTTTAAAACACTAGATTTTACAGCCATAGAGTAGAATGGAGTAAATCATTGTACAGTAAACCTGCCCCTTGGCTGGTAGACGGACATCTCGACTGAACCCAAAGTGACGTGAGTTGAAAAATACCGACTGAGCATTTTAAATTGGTGCCAGGGCTTAGCCAGACATTAACTCACCTATTGGTATGACTTCCAAAAATAAGTGAAGTGGTCGACGCAATTTATTATTTTATGCGTTAACGTAGACCGGTTATGAGGAAATGTTTCCTATTTAGAGAAGTATAAAGACATTCTAAACATGTTTGTATTATAGCTCACGGCGATCAGAGGACTATATTTTTATCAAACAGGACTTTCATTGTTGATGACAATATAAAATGCGATTTCGTTGTTAACTAAAGAACTCGCCACATTCGAGATTATTTAGTTTCCCTATTTTGTTTTTTATAATGTGCTGAATTAGACAAATAAAGCACTGAAATTTATTTTGAATATTATTTCAGCCTAGATCGATACTCATCATGAACGCTTATGTGTAAACCTTTCGAGATGTGGAACTCAGGATCTTCAGGTTTCATTATTAAGTGTGCGTTACTTTTAAATTACCAATCAGGGATTTAATAATCCCACATTTCTAACTTAAGTTTATTTCACAACACTAGATGATTAATTCTCAGTGTCATTTATTTCACTTATAACAACGTGACCGGGCCATGATGCGGTCACCAACTTCTCAATAAAACTTAGGGAATTCTTTTTTTTGTTTGAAATAAGTCATGAATGAAAAAAGGTTTATAGAGACTATTCAATTTCGGTAGATAGTTTTACAATATAAAGAATTAACTCAAGTTAAAAATGTAAACCATTGGATGACAATATGTACAAGTGATTGATCAATGTTTATCTCATCTTTTTAGAGATGACTGAATGTTATCGATTAAATTAACTATTTGTTGGCAGTAACAGATATGAGCGACTCATTGATGTCAATCCTTAAAACTGTTTCACAAGTGTATATCGAACCTGTTTTGATCGATAGGCCGTACACTAGGTTTTTTTTACTGCTGCGGTGATATTAAAGTTGATCCCCGATCGGCGCATTTCAACTAGGCATGTCTATAAGGTACACTGATTTTATCTGCTCTACCACTAGTACCTAGGAAGATACAAGAACTTCGCAACTATTACCAACGGTTTGTCAGGAATGGTAATATATCTTCCTACGAGTATTGTATGAGTACTTTACACTTTGATGAGCTAATAATTTCAGGACACGTGTGATTGTAATTTCAGTAATGTTTGTGTTATTATTCGGTAAGAAAAAATCTTGAGAGTCAAAAGTGGAAGTTGTTTTCCGGGCAATTGATTTAAAACTACAGTAAATTTCTATTACAAGTATTTTGAGAATAATCTCGACAACAAAGTTAGTTACGTGAGAATGATAGAATTGAATAGTACTGCTTAACCTCAATGTATATTACCAATAATAGAGCTAGTTGTATGTTGTCACATTTAATTGTAGTGAGATTATGTACAAAGACATTACTGACCCGATAGGCAAACGAGTAGTGGCAACTTAGTGATCACTAGACTAAGTTTGCAATTAACTGTCATACTGACATTGTGGACTACTACTCCCAAACTAACCATAAATCTAACTACTGGCTTTACAGACATACAAGTAATAGCATAGACCTCAATTCAAAATATAAGTTAATAACCAAAAGAAAAATAGTAGGTATATATACACTAACCTTTGCTATTCGTATAAAATGTGATAATATTTCTGTTCGCTTCGATAAACTTTTCTCATTTAATATATCTTTATGAACCCAGAATATAATCTAAAAATAGATAGATTTTATATCAGAAGGCTTTTTATAGATATTATAGTAATTTCAATGGTTGAGATCATGAGTCAATTGAAGCTAGACCACTATAGAAAATCTGGAAGCACTTGATGGCCATTTCGTCCTATTGTGGGACTCCTCAGTGGCAGTGCGCATCCAAGATCCCGCCTCGCGAGATCTGTACCCAGGACTTATCAGTCTCGCACGCGAACGACTAACCATTAGGCCACTGAGCTGACTGACATCCAACGGTGTTAATGTCTAACCTCAACTAACTCATGAAATTGAGCGACAAATAAATTTTTTATTTTATTTTAACACCTAGATATTGGTACAAGGAGACACCAAATACATATGCGCCACACAAATCTCATTTCATATGTGTGAAGGATGTGATACTGCCCAGGTGCCCAAACCGAAGCAGGTGGTTTCCTCGGGGGGCCATACCCGGGGCCTTCGATCCACAGGGCAGTGGAGCATCGTAAAGAGATGCAGTTCCATGGTAGCCGGTGACCAACGATTGGTTCATACGCCATTCGTTCGCTCAGGATACTGGAGCCAGCCCATGTGCACCATTAATTTGGAATCAGGATTTTCCAAATCCCCTAGGTGGACACTCCATGTCCACCAACCCGGTTAAAGCGCCGGACGTTCGCTTTTCTTCCTCTCAATTTCGTAAACAACGCCACCGCCACGAGAAGGCAATTAGTAGGACTTCCCTGGCAGAGGCTATATACGCGTGGCCATGTGAGAGCATTTCGAGAGGAAGAGCGGACTCTTCCCACTCTCGGCCGTTTGGGGGCGACAAATAAAGTAATAACAAGTATGATAATAAACAAGCAATAAACAATGTGTGTGAGAGAGAGAGAGGAGAAGAAACATCAATGATAAAGAACAGGAATTTAAAGTTCGTTCGAAAAGATAAAGAAGATTATATCTCTTTGTTTTTTTAGAAAAAAAAAGAATGAAAATAAATCTCTAGTTGTCATAGTGATAGATAAGGAAAATTAATATTTTTTGTAATAAATATTAAGCTAAATCCTCTTAGTTATATTATAAAGGTCAAATAGAATTATATAGTTTAATCACATATTATAGATTAACAAAGAGACATTATATTGATGGTTATTATCGATTTAGTTATATTGCATAGAAACATTTTATTGAAACCTCGAAAAATAACTTTTAGAAGTCTAAAAAAGTTACATAAATACTGAAAATGTTACGTAATGGTGATAACCAGGTACCTCAATGAGCACAATTAATGAAGCCTTACAACTACATCAACTTTATACCTGATATATATATATATATATATATATATATATATATATATATATATATATATATATATATATATATATATATATATATATATATAAAGTTGGCGATGAGATGACTGTTTGATCAAATAATATAAACGTTACCTTAGGGTAAAATCATAAATAAGAAATTATCACTAGTTACAATGTTTGAGAGCGATGCTAGGGTCAGACATAGGGTATTTGGATAAATTGTTTGAAAGTGTGAACTATTAATAACTTAGATGGTTGAGATATAGACTACATATACCTAACCATAGCCTATTTCAATGCGCAACTTTGACTGGGATAAGAGTGCATTAAAGGAAAGCTATGAAAGCGTCCAAATCAAGACATGCCGCTAGCTAATCCATAAAATCACTGATTGTTGAACTAGGCTGTATTGGTAGATGCAAAGTAACCGGTTATAATGCGCATGATGATGACTGCAATCAGTAGTTAGAGATGATGGATCAGGGTTAGGTTGTGTAGACATTTTATCCTACACCATATGGTGAGTTTCAGGATTCCATTACAGATACACAACCTTTTATTATTTAATTTTTCTCACTATTATTGACTGTACCATTACTATGAATTCTTTATTACATATCTAGTTAATTTTATTTCTCTGTACTGATCTCGCATGTCCCCACACATTAGTTATAACTGAGGATGTTTCATAGTTGAGACTGTATTTATCTATCTCCCTATTAACATGTTTTTTTTGCTGAATCTCACTTATATTGTTAACATTTAAGATTTAATGCTATTTTTGCCTAATTACTAGAATTAAACATAAGTGTCATGCATTTGAATTCATCAATCATAGTAGAAGATAGAAAGTTAGGATAGTGGCACTAATAAAAGATATTTTGTAATTTAACTATTTATTTAAACACACAAAAATTGGTAGGAGGCAATAAATACATATATACGCCACATAAATCATTCGATTTGTGTGAGGGCTGCGATACTGTCCGGGTGTTCAAGCAAATGGTTTCCTTAGAGGGCCACACCCGGAGCCTTTAACCTAAAGGTCCAATCCACAACGCAGTGGAGCAACATAAGGAGATGTAGTCCCATGGTAGCCGGTGACCAATAATTGGTTCATATGCCATTCGTTTCCTCAGGATACTGGAGCCAACCCATGTGGACCATTGGTTTGGAGTCAGGGTTTCCCAATTCACCTAGGTGAACTCTCGATGTCCACCAACCCGGTTAAAGCGCAGGAGGTTCGCTTTTCGTCCTTTCAATTTCGTGAAAAACAGAAATGCCACGAGAATGCGGTGAGTAGGACTACCCTGGCAGTTGTTGTGTGCACGTGGCTATGTGAGAGCATTTTTCGAGAGAGAGCTGACTCTCCCCACTCTCGGCCATACCAGGGCATTTGAGGGCTAGTAGAAGACAGAAAGTTATAACAGTAGCACTAATAAAAAATATTTTGGCATTTATTCATTTATATAAACACATAAGCATTGGTACATAGAGGCATCAAATAGATATACGTGAGAGCTGGGATACTACTGCCCGGGTGTCCAAACCGAAGCAGGTGGTTTTTTAGGGGGCCACATCCGGAGCCCCCAAAATAAAAGGCATTTTGGTAAGCAGTTGATGTTACTTCAAACAAAAACACAACAACAACATTATAAACTTATAAGAAATCGTTCCGATGTGAATCAGTTAAACAGTAAAAAAGAATGAATCTTTTAAAGAACAATAAACAAATAACAAAAAAAAACTAACTTGATTAAACCATCTTGTAGAAGCAACAATATTTGGAGCATATTGTAGTTTTTCTTTACTATTCCATTTTAATGTATAAAATTCCTAAATTAACAATACGAACAGAATGAAAATTTAAGTTAGAATAATGCTTGATAATTGTTTTAGGCTTAGGTTGAATAAGATCGACTATCTTTTGTGATTAAACTTTTAGATGACTTGAGTAATTACTTACTCCGCTTGGAGCCCCTCTGGGAGTTCGATATAGTTGTATGTATTGTAAGTTATTTATTAGGTAATGAATCATAAACTAACTCCGCCTGGAGCCCCTCTGAGGCTACTGCCGTTCCCGAGCCCGGATAAAGGAGGAGGGTTGGGTATAGGGTTAGAGACCCCATCCCGCAGAAAACTAACTCGCTAAAAAAACGCTAACCAAAATAAACAATTCAAACCACTTAAACTCTGCCCTGCGAGTAAGAAAGTCTTCATTTAGAAGAGTTATCACACCACATGGTGAAACCCGAGTTCCTTCGGAAGTCACGAGACTGACGCCGCTGCTGACAACCAGAGCAACCATTAATTTAGGTACATGGAATACTCGTACAGTGTGGGAGACCCGGAAAGCCTTCCAAATTGCTGCATAAATGAAGAAATACAACATGGAGGTGCTTGGAATTAAAGAAACACATTGGACGAAGGTTGGACAACAACGACTAGATTCAGGGGAGCTTCTGTTATACTCCGGTCATGAAGAACAAAGTGCTTCATATACACAAAGGAGTTGCATTCATGCTATCCAAACAAGCAAATAATGCAATTATAGGATGGGAATCACATGGACCAAAGCAGCAGGACCAGACAAAATTCCAGCAGGGGCACTGAAAGCAGACGTAGCGGCAACTGCAAGGATACTCCACATTCTCTTTAATAAGATTTGGGATGAAGAACAAGTACCAAAAGACTGGAAAGAAGGACTCCTGATCAAAATACCGAAGAAAGGCGATCTCAGCAACTGTGATAACTACAGGGGCATCACTGTTCTTTCAATACCGGGAAAAGTCTTCAACAGGGTATTGCTAAACAGAATGAAGGACTCCGTAGACGTCCAACTTCGAGACCAATAGGCAGGATTCCGTAAGAATAGATCGTTTACAGACCAAATCACAACTCTACGGATCATTGTGGAACAATCATATGAATGGAATTCATTACTCTATATGAACTTCATTAACTATAAAAAAGAATTTGATAGCATGGAGAGAACAACACAGCATGCATCAATCCAATCACAATTGACGGAGAAAATTTGGAAGATGTAAAAACCTTTACATATTTGGGCAGTATCATTGATGAACACGGAAGATCTGATGCAGATGTGAAGGCGCGGGTCGGCAAAGCAAGAGCAGTATATTTACAACTGAAGAATATCCGGAACTCAAAACAATTGTCAACCAACACGAAGGTCAGAAATTTCAATAAAAATGTCAAGATATTTCTACTGTATGGGGCGGAAACCTGGAAAACTACGAAAGAAATCATCTAGAAGATACAGGTATTTATTAACAGTTTGTCTATGCAAAATACTTCGGATCTGTTGGCCAGACACTATCAGCAACAACCTACTGTGGGAGAGAACAAATCAGATTGCAGTAGAGGAAGAAATCAGGAAGAAGCGCTGGAAGTGGATAGGACGCATATTGAGGAAGGCACACAACTGCGTCACAAGGCAAGCCATCACATGGAATCCGGAAGGCCAAAGGAGAAGAGGAGGACTAAAGAACACATTACGCCGAGAAATGTAGACAGACAAACATGAGAAGAATGAACAACAAGTGGATCGAACTAGAAAGGAAGTCCCAGGACAAAGTGGGTTGGAGAATGCTGGTCGGAGGCCTATACTCCATTGGGAGTAATAGGCGTAAGTAAGTAATTAAGAATTATAAACTGAACTTTAGAGCATATTTTTCCTAATGAAAATTATTGATATTAACCGAGGTTCAAACTGGAACCCTAATGGCTGAATGTTGAATAATTTAATCACTAGGTTGATGTTTTATGGTAAATAGAATTTCTTGCATTGAAAACAAAATATAGTTGCTGCATTCCAATGGTAAATGTTTCAACAATGTGTCAAAATACTAGAAACGTGATAATTTATGTTATTGCAAAATCTCTTTATTTTTTGAACAGAACAACTTTTCATATGTAAACTTTTCTAAATATGAAAGGATAATGGAAAAGATAGTTGAGTGCTTTATGCTGATTACTTCAAGGGGTATAGTAAACTAACTAGTAAGTTTATTCAACCCAATGTAGAAATACAGGACTAAATCGGGAAATATCTATATTAACAAACCAAGATATAGTAGTAAGGTACGTTGCTACTTAAAAATGATCTGATAAGGGTCCGTGTAAATATCGTAAATGATGGTTGGATATGAACACTGACGTAACGAAGAATCAATCACAATGGAGTAGAAAAGTTCATTTGTTATCCATTAAATTTTGAGTTCCAGCATTCTTAATTCTTGAAATAAATTTCGGGTGTTTAGATTCTTTTACTATCATTACTACTACAATTATTGTGATTTCTTTAATGTCTATCCCATAGTGGTATAGCAATTCGGGTTAACGAAAGTTTACTTGAGGCTATATGTTATGATTGATTTACCAAAAAAACCATTCTTTGAATGTCACATTTATTTGTTACATCATTTATTTAGTCGGTCAGCTGCAACGTAGGATCAGGTACATATATGCATAGGTTCAAGTTGCCACACTTCATTAGTACAACTACATGAACACCAAATTCATAGTAGTTACTTCAATGGTAGTAATATATAAAAGAAAGATTGTGTATAAGGATATAATACATGAAGAAAGAATTGGTTCGGAGACAGAAATGTATAAAGCAATTTTAATCTAATGGTATAAGGGAAGACAAAGAGTGTGTACATCGACGCCATTGTGATCGATCCTGAGTCGTGTCACCCAGTCTCCAAACATTGGTTACCATAGCCAGGCGGACCCCAATCAAGTAGTCTACATCTACCAACATGGATTAGATTAGAAGTTAGTGACTTTTTGGACTGATGGCATGTTTTGGTTCGGCCGACCCTAACTTCCTTCCAACCGTCTCCAAAACTACTCAGCATTGCGCGTCGTGGTAATCAGTGTTTAGGCATACGCAACACGTGATCTAACCATCTCAGTCGATGAAGATCCATAACCTCACCAACTGATTTACCATCATTCCCTAATACCCTGCGTCTAACCTCACCATTGCTTACCCGGTGATCCCAGCAGATGCGAGTAATATTTCTAAGACATCTGTGGTCAAATATTAGTAGCTTACGAATATCTTCTGTTAGTGGCCATGTTTCGCAGCCCTAAAGTAAAACAGAACGAACTGCCGTGAAGTAGTAGATTTTAAAATTACCTTGAGTTTCTCTAATCTATGCTATACCATAACAACATCGATTTGCCACTAGTTATTCACTGCCTACATGCCTATGAATTACATATCATATCTCTACACTAATATATATATATATATATATATATATATATATATATATATATATATATATATATCGATATGGTTTCCAACAATATAAACAGTACTCTTCGAGCAGTTACATTACGCAATAATTATATAGTGTCACAGTAACCATAAAATGATATCGATTTACTGGGAAAAAAGGAGATTATGATAATCAATGTCGGATTCAATTAAACCCTTAGTACAATACATAATATTAAAAAAGAATTAACAGAATATTTTAATAGAGGGTTAGTATTATGGTAGTTAAGCAAGAATAAAGAGATAAATATTGAGAATGTGTTTGTTTGATTAGTGTTCAGCTGAAATTCACTCTTATATCGATAATCAAGAAAGAGAGTGTAAATGTACAAAGTTCTTTTCAATGCAAACGTTAAGTTTGTGAACATGGATTCCGAAAGGTTCAACAATATGCAAAAGATGAAGTCAAAAACCCTATGGTGGATAACCATACAGACTTTACTTAATACAACTTGATGTCGTGTGTTAAATCATTATGGTACGATGAGTCAGGATCATTTCTTTTATATCTGGATGGTAAAACGATTAGCTGTGATAACACCATTGTAGATGAGTTGAGTAACTTGCTTCTTAAGAATGCATCTACCGTTTGAATGATATTGCGGAGTCAGCTACATATTGCTAGAGTTAGAACTATCACGAGTTCACTTAATCTGCGAACAGAACAAAGACTTGTGACCGTAGACCAATAAGCTGGCTATTTGATGCGTCCCAGCCCCGCTAACTAGAGGAAGAAGTTCTAGCTTGGAACGAGAAAGTATATTCCGTAAGCCAGAAGCACGAGTGAATAATAACAGACACAAATCAAACGTATGTGTACAGCATAAAACTGTCCTTGGGAAGCGTAGCAAAAATAGCATACTAAAAATACACAACGGACCAATAGCGTTAAAGATTCTCCCAAGTAGGAAATACGACATGAAGGTGAAAAGAGCACTTTTGGCGCGAAAACAAGGAAATTTAAATCTCCAAAATAGAATTATAAAATTAAGGCATTTACCAAATGCGTTCTGGAGATCTAACATCCCCAACACCTCCCTCTTTTAATGACGTACGTTTCTGGGGTCCACTTGCATTTTGACCGTTTGTTGTCGTTGTCGGAGTGACCACCATCTAAGTCGTAGGTCGACCTGTCGATGTGCTTCTTCCTGCATCGGGAGTGCGGGTAGACTAAAGGTATCTAATAGGATGTCAAGAGGGAGATTCCCTTCTGTCGATGGGCGAACTGGAGCTAACCGCTTGCGTAGCTGGTTCCAATGTCAATTCCACCTGTCTCTTTCTATCTCTACCTCGTACATGACATGGTCTAATTTTCCGACAACATGTGCTCCAGTCCAGAGACCATGATTTAGTCTGTAGTCCCGAGCGAACACCGGACATCTTTCCGCTGAAGTTAATGTGTGAGATGAGTGCATAATAGCTTTCTCTGTTGCGTCCGGGAACTAATGTGAGATGACAGCACCGGGTCCAAAATCTGAAGCGTCTGCAGCGACAATGATAGGCATGAACGGACCGTAGTGTG